GGTCGTTGACCAAGACGGAATTGGACACCTGCGTCGAGGGCAAAACGAGCAGAAGCTGGGGCTTGGAGGCGCCGGACACGACCAAACAAAGTGTGTCCCCTCCCTACAAACTCCGAAACGATGTTACATTACGATGGTGGCATTTGAACTGAAGTCAAACTACGGACGTCAGGTATACGACGCTGGCACTGCATATGGAATCTCTTTGATCTCGTCTTGTCAGTGTCCAGGTCTCGGACCCACAGAGGGGGGCAGAAAGCACACAAGCTCGATAAACCTTAGCTTTACGGGGAGGCTGGTTCTTGCTTCTCCAAAGCAGCAATGCCAATTCTGCGTAGGACATCGGTACTGCACAGACCTGAGGTGGTGATAGTGTTTACGAGGTAGCAGAAGGACTCAACAGGATCTACGACATTGGGCCAAGGGAAACTGGGGCAGGTGAAGGTACACCTAGGGATTGAACCCTGGTCTTTGCCCAAAAGGGTTTAAGGCCTATGTATAGGTTCCCGTTCAAAGGTTGCAAGATGTTCCCTCCATCTGTCTGAGTTGTCAATAAACAGCGTAGCATCATCAGAATATAGGAGGTCGGTAAACATATGGTCCCCTACATCGATCCCAGCGATGGCTCACACTGCGACAGAATGGTGTCCATGGCGGCGCAGAATAGAGTGGGGGCTACCACACAACCCTGCCAGGCTCCTGAGGAGGTTGAGAAGAATGGGGATAAGTCATTGCCTATCCTGACATTGGCTTTGGTGTTGGAGTGCACATTTTCTACCGGACTTAAAAGTGTTGGAATTTCGTACCTTGGCGGATTCTGAGCTTTAAGCTTTCTGGGGGTGGACAAGCACGGATATTTGCTCCTTGCTTGGGCCACGATGTCATGCACTGGACGATCCTTTCGTTGCCGTGCCGCCAGGGCAAGATCAGGTTCCATCACCGCCAGCTGTGGTCTCCCGTCTTCGTCATGTTGTTCTCACCGGTACCTTGCCCTTCCATTATAAGTCGTCTGTCGAGTGCTAGACCTCGCCCACTGGTAATTATCGTCCAACTCCCGTTTAGCCGAACATTTGTGCACAAACAATGCGCGATGTCCTATATCCAGTCTTTATAATGGAGATCAATGGTCGTAACCACGTCTACGGTCGTGACACCCACAGCCACAACAGGCCGGCGTGCGAACATCACGTAATATGCTACGCACGGGGAAATGAATCTGGCTGCAGAATTTGTTGTTTCAATGTCTCTCTCTCTCTTAGAGAAGAACAAACGGTTCTGTACCCTTAGCCATTCGGCAGTCAACAGACTAGCAAACAGCAAGAAGTATACGAATACGAGAAGGGCAGTAGGAGAAAAGCAGGAGTAATAGTAGTTATTGTAGTGTAAATAATATACAAAAATTACAAAGAAGCAGAACGTTTTTTTCTATAAGGATGTCCTACACCAGACTATGTATATGCAGTGTTAATGGAAAACTCAAAGTCTTCCATTATGGTCCTTCAGCTCAGGCCATTCAGGGTTTTCTTTCTGGAATCTTCCTGAACCCTTCATTCAAGGCAAATGAAATGAGAACAGTTTTGCATTGTCAAAGCCAGTGAAACAAAAATCTCTTCCATCATGGCCCTTCGGAGTGTCTTCCCAGAACCCCTCTTTCACGAAAGAAGAAACAAAAGTCAGGTGCATTGGTACCAATATTTTCCTGGAAGCTTTCATTCGTCACAAAAGAACAAAAATGAGGTTAGTTGTGAAAACAAGCGTCTTCCCCAGATCCTATGACAAGTGATACAAAATTCAAGTACATTATTTGCACAATTTCTTTACGGAATCATCCAATCATGACAAAGAAAAGAAACTCCTATAACTATGAAATGAAACAAAAACTCAGGTGCATACTTAACAGGTGTTTTTCTAGACCCCTCCAATCGTGAAAAAAAACCAAAACTCAGGTGCATAATTAGTGAGTGTTTTCCGTATCTGTCAGTCATAACAAGTAATACAAAACTCAGGTGTTTTATTAACGCAATGCCTTCCCGGAATCCTTCAATCACGAAAACGCTTTTTTGCTTGAATAATTAGCACACGGTTGAGTTGACTTCACATAGACATTTTTCCTGTGATGTCACGATCGTGCTGGACCTATGGTGTGTTGTGATGGTAATGAGTGCATAGTGTTGTGATGGTAATCAAGATAAACTAGTCAAGCATGCTGCCTTTGCACGTGCGCTTGCACGTGCTTGAAGCTAGCTGCCCATATAGGTATACATGCGATCACTGTGGCCAGGGCGGTCTACACGTGGTTGTATTGTTTACAACATTTAGTCATGTGGGTGAAAAAGGCCTATAGTCGTTGTTTTTTAATTAAACTATTCAGAATGGATGTCGTATATGACAGCTTACAGGTTAGAACAGAATGCAGCAAAAATGCAAGCCACCGTGAATTATGGGGGTTAGCATTGAAGCGATGGTTCGGAAGACTTTGTGGAAGCTGTGGGATCCATGTGCATTATTACCATGAAAAGAAAAACAAAAAGAGGCAAGCGAAAACCGTTGCACGAACAGCATTCAAACAATGGATAAAGAATAAACAAGACACGAAAAAAGAGGTGAAAGTCATACGAAAGATGACAAATCTCTACTGGACAGTAACGGCATAGCAAGAGAGAGATGATTTAGAGATGCCTTTTGGGTCTTGAAAGAAGGGTGAGTAGGTGGGATCTGGAGATGATGAAGTAATCTAAGATCTTTCGGAATAAGTTCGTGCAAAAGAAATGCAAGAGCCCAGGGCGATGTACAAGCAGAAGCACTCGGCGCAAGTGAAGACCCTGAACTATTTCCGTTACTCAGAAAGCTCTTTATTTGGAGATACACATCAATGACTTTCTTGAATGGGAATAGAACACATGAACATAGCATGGGGGACCACACCCAAATTCCAAGGATGCTCTCATTCATTCACCGTTCATTCAGTCGAATGAAACTAAAATTTGCCATCTCGTGGCTTTCCCATTATGAAATAAGCTTATCGTTTTAATTGCAATTGTGGACTAAAAAAATGCTCATGTTTTCCTTCGTACTCCAGTTTATCCCCCCAACTTAATTACATATCAGATGTTGCATTTTATCACCGTTCTGTTTTATGAGGGCGCACCACATGAGGCTGGGAAACTCGCAAGTCCGTTTGGTAATTTTAAGAGCTTCACGTTTACAAGCGATTTGCACGTGGTATTCATGTCTGCATTCAACTCCTGCGAATGAAACCAGAAATTAATTAAACACCAGATGGTGAATTTTTATATCTTTACCTTAGTTTAGTTACTAATTCCTATGGAAGAATCACGAGTATGACATACATTATCTTTGCTGAACGTGCATTTGCTCGTTTATTCAACTAGAGAAATTCTCTTAATTCTGTTTGACTACAGAAGAAATGCTTTAAGTTCTTTTAAAAGTGAAAACATAGGAAAAATGGGGGTTGTTTCTGACAGAAAGGTATCATACACAAGCAGGAATCAAAGAGGTCGTTAAATAGCGCCCTCTATTGGCACCAACTGCTGCACGATCTGTCAAACAGTTCATAGACTCTTTATGGTTGCACTGCACAAAACGCGCTTAAAGAAAACAGTGCAAACTTGGAAAGAAATAGCGCCCACTGGCGACTCTCCGGAGTAGGTTGGTCTGGCGTTTATCACTGGAAATTCAAGACTGTGGCCAAAACTTCAGTTTTCTTTTCAAGTTTATAAGGGTTAGGTGCGTGCGATTCTTTTTATTCGCGCTTCTCCCAAAAGCAACCGCAACTGTTCGCTCAGCTCTGAATATAGCCGCTCGCCTTTATGCAAAACAGGCCTACAGGTTGGAGATTTTTGTTAATGAAATACGCCAGGTTCGAAGCCCGAAATCCCAATTAACTAATAATTAACTGATTGATTTATAGAACTATTTCTTTGACCAGTCCTGATTATGGCAAATCTTACTGTAAATAAACCTTAGGATCACAAAATATTATTGAGCTCGCTCGTACAAATCTAGCCATTTAGTGGAATGCACATACCCTTATCGAGAGCGGTGCAAGTGAACCCTGAAGTGATATGGACGGGGATCAGGAATGTATTGTCTGTAGTTTTAGGTGTAGAACATTGAAAAACAGATTTTCACAGGTTTTGCGATCGTCTAAGAAGAACAGACGAAAACAGAGCCGAGGTGGAGACAGAAAACAAAGTCTGGAGACCTGTTGCTAATGTCATACAAGAATGCTGAAGAAAAAGACATCCTAGAATGCCGTTAAAACGTGAACAAATTGTAGGCCTACCGTTTATTTTTTCGATTACAACCGGGATTCTGCAATGGTGGCAAAACACCGCCATCAAATTCAGTTTTTTTCGAAGTCCTAGTGGCGTATCCAGCGGGGGGGGCGGATTTTTTTTTACAAAGAACACTTTACAATTAAAAAAAGTCGTCGGTATGTTAGCACCAAAAACCCTAAGAAAACAACAACAACATGAAATAAAAGCAAGGATGTCGCGACCGCGAGTAAAGCTTTTGATATTGTTTTTTCCCCCGACATCATGTTGATTGAGCCCGAAGCCACATTCGCTTTTGAATTTGCCCCTGACACCAAAGGCAGGATACGCCGCTTAGTAAGCCCCTACCGAATCGTTACGTGCAGTAAATCGATAGACATGGTACACAATTTTTAACATTAATAAGCTACTTTTTTGAACTCAAAACTAATAGTCTGCCCGCAGTCTGCGGAAAAACCCTCTTGAAAAAGAAAAATCGAAGTCCCCTTTTGACAGACATTTTCTCTTTTGGGGAGTGATTTTTATACGAATTAAAGTTTTACAAAATAAGGGATAGCCAAAACCCAAAGTATAGACAACACATCTTTAATGATGTACGCTCACGTAAGCTACAAACGAGTTAACCAAAATGACCAACCCTGTGCGCCACGATTATTTATAATAGTTAATATGTCATGACATCAACACTTGATTCGCATGTAGTCTGTGTTGACGACAGCTTTCACTGTGTAGAAATCTCCAGGCAACGGATATCTGCTAACTGAACGCTGCAAGAATGTAATGTCATCTTTTTAAGCAGTAAGGAAACAGTCAAAACGTGTGGTCTCTCGATAATCGAAGGCAGTTACCGGAGGCATATTTGCGTCGTGTAAGTTTCTCCGCGTCGTAACATGAAGGCTGCAGTTTTCAACAGACTTGTTCTGTTCGCAATATTATGGTTGCCCAAGTTGAATGCACAAACACCGGCAGTGTCCGCGTTTCCCTTCGCCGAGAACGAGTCATTAATTGACCGGAGTATTTCAGCGATACCCACCGAACCACCAGCAGCGAAGATACCGTTGTTCCTTGGCGGGTTCTTTGCACTTCCGGGCGGGGGATGGGACGGCAGTGTCACGCTGGTTGCGGTGGAAATGGCGCTGGAGAGCATCAACGCCTATCCCGATATATTGACAGAATACGAACTGAAAATGGTGTGGAATGACTCCCGGGTAAGCGACTCATCGGCAAATTTTGAATCGTTAAGAGTATGGATGTCAGAAATACCTAAATTAACCATCTTTTAACAGCTCTATCGTCTAGCTTGTTTTCCTGTAGTGCTCGAACATGACCTCGCATTTTTATGTGAAATTGAATGACAGCGGTGAGGTAGAGTTTCCACCCCATAAGCAGTATTTGACTGGTATAAATTGCATGCATAGTGCTTGGCTGGTACATTACCGGCATATGGTGGAGCAGTTCTTTAATATTACAGGTAGGAATTTAACTCTTTCGCTGACCATGGACAATTTCCATGGTTTCAGCTGACGATTGGATTGTGGTAGACAGATCTAAGAAGGTTTGCCGACATTACAAATTGTGTGCGCTCTAGTTTAACTCTAAATAAATTAAAGAGATCCTCTTAAGTCGGCAGGGTAATTGCTTTACAGCTTTGAGTATTATTACTTGTGCATCAAATATCATTTTGTTTGCAAACCATCATTGTAAATGTGATTTAGACATTCAATAAGCAGTGGGGGATGTTGGATAAAGTCTGTGGTTTTGTTGGCAACAGGGCGAGACATGGGCAGAATCATCAAAAAGACTTTTTTAATTGGGACATGACTTCTCCAGGAGTAAAGAATTTATTGGTTGAAAACTGATAAACTCAATTATTGGAAAGGGGTCAATTCTGAGCTATTTTCCAGCAAATTAGTTTTCCTGCAACATCCATGGGCAAAATATCAGCTTATTTCCGTATCCCACGGCAGTTGTCGTTGTAGGTTTCTTGTTGTCAACCTGTCTACCACATGCAAGTACACGTGATTTCAATATTAATGGGACTTCAGTATTTTTAATGTAGACACTAAAAGACTAAGGGAAGAAGACCAAATCCTGCGAGCAGCCATGCATGCAGTTTTAAAACCTTGCCAGTGCGTGAACGAAACCCGTACATTACCCGCAGAACTATGCGCAATTAGATAACAAAAAATCTGCACATTAAAATCTCTTGCAGTGCAAACTCTGTCGCTTCACCACAAAATTTGAAAAAAATACACTGAACGCAGTGTTACAGCTTAGAATGGGTTTCTTTGTGAGAAGAGTGTTGGAATGCCAATTTAATCAAGGCGCTTGGCTAGAACCAATGGAACATGGGACAGAAATAGTGTTACATTTTTGCACTGCTATCAAAAAGGTTGCTTCAACTGAGGGGAGCAGACGGAAACGGTTAAAACTAATTTTAATTAATTATATCAGGACTATAATATTGCTACAACTGGAACTTAATGCTATCTATAAGTGGTCCGTGACTTCTGGCGCAAGAAGCGCTGTTTATGTTTTTTAAAATGGCGCCGCCCATGGTCAACATAGAAATATCACAGGCCCAGTTTTCAAGGCGCCACACCTTGGAAAAAATACAGTTTCGGAAAGTTTTAGGTTGCTCATATAAAAGTAAAAACTCTGAGAAATACGCCGGTGTAAGTAAAATAGTCGATTCATTCTCATAACGGAAGATATTAGGATTCAAAGTTTGTGACAATCCTGCAGTTTGGATTTCAGGCATTTAAGACATGCTTTGAAGTAGGGCTGTGGTGGCGACAGATAAGAGACAGATTGTAAAAGAAAGCCACTACAGCCATATTTGTGGGCTTAGCTTAAGGATGGTCACATTCGTTTTACACAAGCAGCCTGCCTTAGGCTTTCAACTGCCCCTATAAATGCACGATACTCCAAACAAGAATATCGTTCTACTATAGGTCCTGTCTTCAGCATGCTTATATTAGCATGTATATGATGAACAAGCCTAAGCTTAAGGCCTAGTCATACTAACATTAGGCCTACATACACTTAGGCTAGTACTTGGTAGGCCTAGGCCCCAGTACGAGCAGCTTATACTGTGGTTAGATGGTTAAGCCTTAGGCCCAGTGGTTCTAGCCATCTCCTCCAGGTCTAGGGCAGTTTTCCAATACTCAATTTTGTCTCTGTCTCGGGCTTTGTCCTAAACACCAATGCCCGATTGTGGGCCTAAGTATTTAAATTTAATTTAAGTAAGCAGGCCTAGTAATGTTTGGCTTTTTTGCTTCTTAATGTTTTGCAGTACTTTCGGACTTAGTATTGGTTGCGTTTACAAGTCAGGAAGTAGCCTAAAAAACCTTTGAAGCCTGAGACAGAGCCGACATCGAGTATTCTAAACCAGCCAGCAATATATAAATTGCAAACAATTTAGAAAGGTCACAATAATGTCACAACACAAGACTGGCCCCTTGTCTACAGATTGCAGCTAGCATCGATTTACAGTACTGTACAGTGCAGCGCACATATACTGTATGTACTAGGGTAGGCCTGTGTTCTGTATGTACACGGGCATTTAGGCCTACTTTGTATACGTTTGCAGGGCTGTAATGAGATGCGGCAGGGATGGTAGGTATGGCCTGCTACTAATAAAGGATTGTTGCATTTTGAATTGTGTTGGCAGATTTTTCTAAACAACCGATTTTCTGTCCTCAGAATTGGTGAATGAAACGTATAAATATATTCCCACTGGAAGTTAAAATTAAAGGTAATTCACAGGCTGTTCAAGAAGAAAGATCCTTTTACAGTCATGTCAGAGTTTGCATCAGTTTGATAGCTGATGAAAAAGTTCTTGTTCTCGACAAAGAAAAAAATGACCTGTAAACAGCAAAAAATCGTGGGGAGGAAGCGGTAACTTCAGTGTTTACATCAGTTTAAAATTGTCACCATTAATTATTTGCTCGAGGGCAAATTTGTTTACACGCTGTTAGCTATATGAGCGAGTGGATCACGGAGTATGGTGCTTGCAATTTGACCTTTGGCCTACATTCTCCACATCCCACAAGCGCAAATGGGACAACAAATTTTTCTTCAAATAATCTTGATGCACTGTAAAGATTCTCTCTTATTATCCTCGTTCAAGCAAAACATGTGCAACTTAGAAAAGTGCACAATGTATTTGGAAGACCAAGCTGCAGGAATTATATCGCACTTACTGAAATGGATAAACCACTCAGAACTAAGATTCTTCGATCACATTTTCAACAGCTTTGATGAAAGTATAGTATCCTCTGTTTACTTTCCGAGAAGATGCAGCGTCATCACCACTCGTAGGCTATGGGCTCCATATAGACAGTACTACATTGGTTTTAAAATTGTCTTTCAGTAGTTATATCTTTGAATGGTTATATTCTATTTGTAATTTCTTGAGCCCCCAAATCTACTTTGTATTGTCACTCATGAATAGTAAATGTGCTTGTATAACTATCAAAATCAGCAAACTCCATGGAGTTTGCTGATTTTGAAAAATTTGCTCGCTCATCAATTTTGATAGTTATACAAGCACATATACGTGTATGTAGGGGCAAACTCAGTAAATAGCAGTCGGTCAATATTATGAAAAATTAAAAAAAATGATCTCATGATAATATCATATATGATCATTCCACAGACAGATGGCCTGCCATTGATTATTAAAGGGGCTGTAGGAAGGATCTGGCTGTATGCCACAGTTTTGACATCAAGGTTGATGGGTCAAGAGTCATTTTTTTTCAACAGACCTGTTGACTTCCGATGGCAGTCTACCTGCCAAGTTACGTTTTTCACGGGAGAAAATGCTTCATGGAATATCAAATTGAATTGAACAAAGAAGATTCTTTGATCACATAATCTGTGATGTCCAGTGGGACTGTCTATCAGTTTTCGCTTAAACTAATCATACAGCCAATCAATTTTGAAACAATTAGTAACAATGCAAATTCCTGCCCCTGGGACTGCGCAAGGGCCATCCACTGGTGTGACTACACAGGTCCATTTGTGCCATGGACTGGGTGACTGAAACTTTTCGGCATATAGCCATTGTCATCAGGCCATGTTGGTTGATAGTCACGTAGCGCATTTGGGTTAAACCTGAAATAAGAGTAAATGTGTGACAACACTCGGTTTGTCCAACGGTTTGATGTTTTTGGCCAGTAAACTATTTCCAAGCCATTTTTAAGTATCACCAGACATAGGGCATATTCAACTACACAGTCTACCTCTTCTCGGCGCATTCCTTCTCAAAAAGTAAAATTGCAGTTTTAGTGTTGTCAAGTGAATGGAGGTGGCCATGCATTAATAAGCAATAAATAAATTAAACAATGAAAGCGATTGCAAAAGGAACATTTCTTTTCTCTTCTAGGTGAAAAGAGTTTAATGGTTCCCTCATACATCCAGAGTGTGAATTAACTTGGTTTCATTAGTCTAGAAATTATCACTTTTGAGCATGAAATTTTAACACACCTGTGTTTTGTACTTTTTATTGGATACATTAATCTGGTATCAAATGGTCTTGAACTCAATCCTTTCAATGAAAAGATGTAAAAAAAAATGAAGTAAACTAAATAATACCAATGAAAAACAACTTTTTCTTTGTCCTTTTGTATGTTTTTCTCACAGGTTGACTCTGATGCAGTGGCAGATCCAGAAAGCAGTAGATGTGGCAGTGAGTGATCCCAATTCCTTTGCACTTGCACCAATCATCATGTACATTACGCATCCAAGTTGCCTTCATGTGATATGCTACTTTCCACCTCATAAGCCTCAATCCCTCTTCCCTGGAAGAGGAGGATGGATAGAGTTCCTTCTGCTTTCACTTGAGGAAAACTGGGCTACTCCCCCCAAATTCTCCACTTGCCACACCCTCCTACTGCCACCACTGCATGGATCTGCCACTGCTGGTACATCCGTATTACTAAAATATATTTGTCACATTTTTGAATTACAACTGTAAAGTTGACAAAACTAATTAGTCGTGTTTCTGCAACATCATTAGTCAAAAGTTTAATTACAAAGTGCGAAAGTTGCTGGATTAATTAATGGTTAGTCTGGCTATAGTACTGGTATTTTCTTGTCAGGATGTAAAGAATTTCAATTTGTAATCAATGCAATATGACTGGTTAAAATTAGTCACATGAGACAGTGTCCTGGACTAATTTTTTCTGTCAAAATGACAAACTTATTAAAAGAGTGATAAGTGCAGTATAGTTACTGGAACTGGAAATTAATATTTGATATTAAACTGGGTGTTGTGAAATCAATCCATCGTCTGCCAAACGGGTTTGCGTAGAACCATATGAAGGTTTGACTGAAATGAGAACACGACCATATCTATATCTAATTATTATTGAAGTTAATCGATACACTTTATATTAATATCAAAGTATCAGAATCCTTTTCGTAGTGACTTTTCGTAACAGCAACATGGACAAAAACAGCAACAACACTATGAGACGCTTTCAGGCTTGCACTCTTGACTGCGAAAGAATTTATCTGATTTTGTTTTTCACGTGCATTCCTCGTGACTGGGAAATGCAGTACAAGAGCCAAAAATAGAATCTCTAAATTTCAAAAATCGAATGCGTCTCTGAAACATAAAATAATTAGCAATATAATAAGAATTCTAAATTATTAGCCTTCTTAAGAGTAGTGGAATAAATTGACATTTTCAGGTACGTCAGATAACCAAGAGTGACATTTCTAGAAAATCTTTATTTACCCCTGGGGAACAAAACTGAGGATAGCAATTTAAAGACTAACATAAGATAAGATACTCCCTCATCAGATGCAGATACCCTGGGAGATTATAGCCGTGGGAACATTTCGCTTTCAGGGTTACTAGAATTGAAGGTTGTATGTGTTCATCGCTGATTGGAAGGCTAAAGCGATATCCCTTTACGGATTCTAAATTTTCTCTTTAATGAACTGAACAGTTCACGTAGGCCTACATCACTTAGTGGAAAGAATTTAAAAGGCGTATATAAAGATGTTTTTTATATTAAGGAAAAACTAAAATCTGTTTCAGTGGCTTTAATAATTCTGATGTGGATATTTCCTTGAATCCATATTTATCTCAAATTAAGGAAAACGAATGTATTTATCATATAAACAGACAAATGCCCATGTCCATTTTAGGCCTCCGGGGCTACTGTTCATTAATGAGAGAAAAAAAAAGAAACGAAAATCCAGATACAAGTGAACTCGAAATTCATTATTACCTTGCTTCGGCAACATATTGAAAGACATATACCTCCTTGCAAAACACACATCACAAAGGAAAAGTGACACCAATAGGGCTTCATATATAATTGCTCTCTGTTTACTTGCATAAATGTCAAGAGCATCGTGCGCTGTTTTTTTCAGCCATAGTTTAAAAGCGGATGGTTGAGTTGATAGAGGGATTAAAGGTAGAACACTATGTTGCAAAGATGTAGGCCGTCTTGGGAAGTGAGAGTTGCCCTTGGAGGGGTGTTTCATGTGTGGGATCCTTTATGTAGACTCTCAATTCATTGTGCCAGTAAAAAGGAAAGCACCAAACAGACGCGAGGAAAACTTTTATGTTTTTTTATTGTTTAAAAAAAATGAATTCTGAACAAGAATTGGTAAGAAGTGTGTTTTAATATAGACGGAAACACAGACAAATCAAACGACAGGGCGCAGAGAGAGACTTCAACTACTTTATTCCTGCACTGTTTGCTTATATACATCTATTTACAATAATGGAATTATCCAAATGTGACACTATTGTATATAACTCCCAATCAAAACCGAAGGTGTGGCTTGATACAATGCAGTGAAATTTGTTCATTGCACAGGCTAAGGAACGACATCTCCCCCCGTCTTATCAAATTTCAATTCATCATCTTAATTTAAACAGTGATTAGTGGCAAGAATCTTACATTATTTTTTGTTTTACGCTCAGTAAGACAATAAAGACCTGTATGAAATGCATATTCACAAAAATTAACGTCACCCTTTTTATTGATATTTATTTCACCCTTAGTACATTACATAATCTTTGAACCAACTCGGTTCACACCTTTGTCTTGTACTTCTTCTCAAAGTAGTATAAATATAACAGACTACGTCTGTGATTGCTTCGTTAGAGCGTGGTCGTTCCCTTTCTCGGAAGTTGTTATTAACATGTGATTTCACTTCTTGTTGTGTGCAACTAGTAGGCATGGTTAATTTCCAACCAACTATATCCAGTCTGGTTCTCATGTGCCTATACCGTGTAATAACACAGCCGGTGCAATTCCTGTGGTTGTTTGTGCTCTCGTCCTATATACACAGTAACTTAACTGCTGCCTAAACTGCGTTCTTTATCACACCATTAACGACAGCGTGTATGCCTATGTCTATATTATACAACATGTACCTCAGTCGATTGTCCTGAGCTTAGGGTACATAAAACTTACTTCACTAATGTCTCAATTTTGTCTTCTCTCCTTCATGAGATTGGTCTATACACAGAATTTCTCACACATCATGTAGATGTATTTCTCATGCAATGATAACCACGCGCCGAAGTCCGGAGCCTCTGTACTAACACTTCGTTGTTAGATTGGGGAAAGACATTGCACAGCTGCTGAAACAAGTATTGTGAATATTTGATGCCCTTGCCAATCATGCCACGGTAAGCAAACGCTCACGTGGGGCAAAAAAAGTAAAAGGGACTTTTGTGAATGGTGCTACGAAGCTAACGTAAACGTCACAGCGAAAGTTGGGACAAATGAAAATAATGCAAGACTGTAATGCGTATACAAACTTGGCAGTTTTCACCAATTCGTGGATCCATGCAATGATTTCTTTTAGACTCATTCGTTATGGATCTTTATTATTATTATTCAGACCTTTTTCCCCCTACGTTTGGCTGTCAAACGGTTGAATTGCACATTGGCTCCATTATTTTAAGTAATTGCATTAAGTTAATTAAAAAAACATTTTTTTTGCACGCCAGCCTACTGCTATTACATACACATCAATAAATTGCCAAAGAAATGGACATTTGCAACTGTAAAATATAAAAAATGTGCACAAATCCATGCAGCGTTGAGGTTCAGTGCCTGGGATGACATCATTCTGCTCACAAATATACAAATTGGTGGTACCGTAAAAGCAAAAAGGCTTTATAAAGAGATTTAAAAAGCTAAAAAATGTGCAGTTTCAAGGGCTGTAGTGAAATAACTATTTCATAGTCCCGTTAAAAATTAAGCCTAACATCTGCAATTATTATTAATATTAAGTGAAACGCCCATAAATGTATTTTGCCGGATAATAACTACACAAAATGGAAACTACAAAAAGCACATTTCTAAACTACATAGCACCTCAACGACCTTGAATTGAATGTAAATCACGGTACAGACATTCGAAAGCTACATCGGTAAAAAACACGTTTACAATGCCAACAATACAGGACAGCTATTCTGAATTAGACAGCCTGAACGATCTTGTGTATACACACTCGAATCCGGACTATTTGACTGCTCTTTCTTAAAGTGCTTAAAGAGCAGCAGACAACCGAGTCGATTTATAGCTCGGGTAGTTTCTTGGTTTTCACCTGACATGAATGCAGAATTCCAAATCTGCACGCCAGTTATCAAGGCTGTAAAATATGACAGCAACGAATGACCAATTCAATGATTTGGTCATGCATCCCACATATATGAGCAAGTTGGATGTTTTAACGAGAACAAGATTCAGATCGAGCGCATGAATAAAAATATGGGTTATGTGAAAAAAGACGTCTTGACTGAGCAAATTTAGTAAGAGAATAATAACCGTCTACCTTCCAGCAGAAGCAATAAGTAAATGCATCAGTTAAACTCTGAATGGTCGAATTGTCTTACTGCAAAACACTTACTACTTGTTCCACTAAATCTTCTGCATTTACACTACCTGTTGTGGCTAAAGGTCATCTGATATAGAATACTTACCCTTCATTCATATGACCCATTTAACTTAAAAAGCCAAATAGAAAGTACAAGAACGTTTATTCATGTTTTGTTTGTGACCAACCAGTGGAAGACAATCCTTATTCCAAAATGTATCAATGAGATGTGTCATTTTCAGCATGGTCTGTAGTCTGTAGGCCTACATCGTTGGTCAAACTGATTCACATTCTGAAGACATCTGCCTAAGTGAGCAGAAGGTGACAGGATCGAGTCCAACCGAGGAAACTAGTAGATCGTTCCACAAGCCTTCGGACAACGCTGAGTATAAAGTGCTCTAAAATATGCGTCCGTGAAGGGCAACACGCGATACGCAATGGGCCCTATGTGTATGAAAATTACTATTTTCCCAACACCTTATGACAAGTTTTTTTCTCTCTCTCCCTTAAAGAATCAAGGTTACAGTGGTCTACCAAGCCAAAATCCATTAGTATTCTGTGCCTACTAATACAAACTGGGTCCAAGTTTGATTTTCTTTTGAGTGAAAGAGTTCTTATCCATTTGTTTTGCCAGTGTGACGCCGGTCTGGGAACCAGACTCTTCTTCGAGCACATCCGGTTGCCTCCTCAGAAACTGATGCTGATAGGGCCCGCCTGTTCCACCACCGCCCAGGCAGTGGCACAAACGTCATTCTACTGGAATCTCATCACGGTAACCTTTGTATCCTCACCAACTCCACCTCTGCATTTTCATTCAGAGAAGAAAGTCGCTGTTAAAACCAGACCAGCACCGCCTGCACACGAGTACTCTTCCAAGTTTGCTATATATCTCTGACACTGAGAACACCACTGCGTAACAACTGCACTGCATGACCCCAGACTCATCACAATACATGTAACTTACTTACACATGAAATATTGTCGGATTGAGCATGGTAAGGGTTAATATATTTCATTGATAACGACGGTGCACGCTCGGCGCCAGAGTGTCTGTACATTTCTATGAATGTTTCAATATCATTGTCTCTACCACGAAATATCTTTTCAGTGATGCGTCTGGATGAGATATTTATCTGCATCACAGACTGGGTCTGGCACTACTTTGAGAGGTGGGATGCGATGTGCCGTAAACTGATTGATAGCATGTCATGGCTTGTTCATTCACACTGCAAAATTACTTTATTATATCGAACACTCTTGGTGCCTATTCACAAAAGACCACTGGTCCTGTTTTATTCATGTAAAGATACCCAAAGGGAGTTAAAGTGACTAAAGCGCACAATCTCCCCTGGCCTGTTGCCTGACCCGAGAGGGGGGGTTCGTCAAACCCAAAAGTGGAATATTTGGCACCGTAAATACATATTTTTATACAAAGGCCTATCTTAATGTGCTTTGGAACACAACATCATCAAGTTCCATGTTTGTTGCGAACCGAAGGATGCATGTAAGACTTGTATAGGCCCCCTACTTCAGTTTCTAAGTTCACATCGTAAGCGTATCGTAAATTGGTCTGGTATACGAATTTGCTCTTCACCCAGTGCGTTGAATCGGGCGCTGGGTGACAGCGAGCGAATGACATGAACATTATTATTTTAAAAATCTCAGAAAATCCCACACGAAAATTCCGAAGTTCAAAAAAGTGATAAATGGAAGTAAATCATCATTACCTCCACTCACCTAACTAAAAATTGTAAAAAAAAAAAATGGGGGGGGGAGCGCATTTCATTTTGCACTTCGGGTAAAAATCGGAAAATCGGACCAAAATAAAATGCTATCGGAACTTTGTAGCCGATATGTGAAATCGACATTTATGAATCAGAATATTTGGAGTTTGATTACATTTCATCTTTTGTGAAATTAGAGGTAAAATATTGCTCCATTCACAAACGTTAAAAGTGAAAATTCGAAGTGCCCATAGGGTCCGCGCCACTTTCCGGTACGCATTCTTCAATTGTAACGTGAAGCAGCGCGCGAACGAGTGTTTTCATTAAACCTAAACTTTTTCAAGTTCTCGAAATTACCAATTTTCCAATTTTAATGGGCTGGATTAGTGTCCTTGCTGGGTGGGCCATGCAGCAGTTCTTTTTTAAACAGTAACTAAAAGACCAGTAACATGATAAACAACATGGATTACATAAATGTAAAAGACAAAAACGAACAGACGTACCACACAATTTGTGAGGTGTGAACGGTAATTGCGGTGCATTTACAAGTCTATTCAGTCTTTCAGGGCTGGTTTCCTTCATTTCTGACACGTAAAAGAGCCAATGTACACGTCAACCAAGGAAAACATGACTGCCTTGTCCCCGCGACAAGAACGCTGCGTCGCTGGTGGGCCCCATGTGTGGCTGGCCGGCTGCGGCGGCGACCCGGGTTAGGCCGCGTTAGGCACGGCGCGGCGTTTAGTGACGGATCTCATTCTTCAAATGTTGCCGTATAAGCCGCCTGGAGTTCAATATAAACTGCAGAGCTATTTTCAGCGTGAGAAACAGAGTATAAACCGCGGCTTATATTCCGAAAATTAGGGCATTTTAAAAGTATATATTTATTGAGGGAAAAAAAATTAACAAAACCAAAAACACCACCAACAAGCAGAACTCTGAAGCAAGCGGGGGGGGGGGGGGTTCAAACCTCCCGACCCCCCCCAGCCTACGGGCCTGCTCCCCAGGTTTAAAGGGGCTAATGTACATGTACAGCAACAATAAATCATAAACACGCGCTTTTAGAAACCGTTGGTACAGTGAATAACCTCACTGGCTGAATTAATGCTTAATCGGCAGGGTTTGATTTCTGACTCGGTCGTATTGGCCATTTTGTCTCTTCACAGAGGTTGAGGAGGGTGACTGGAAATAATGTAGCGAATTATGGGACCAAAGACACGAGTTTAGGTCTACACAGACTTGAATGTTTCTATATTATGGAGCAAGCTTCATTTGGCTGTATCTTTCCATTAAAGAAAGAGTCCAAAGTCCGTTCTTCACGAACGTTTTATGGTGGAGAAAGCTGTTGATGTTAAAAAAATGATTAAGATTTCGTTTAATGAGATCACTCTGTAAACAAACCTTTTCAGCATTTTGCAATCCAAAATGGGATTCGAAGGACAAACAAGCACCGTATTATATACAACCCCCCTTGCAAAACGTTGGTCATTTTCCACCTTGTGAAATGTACGTTGAAGATATGCAATATTTTTTCCTCAAATATTGAATTTGTAAGGGTTAATATAGAGAAATAAACATTTGGGAATCCCTTTCACGAGCCGTTTCTGTCTTTAACGAGGATAGTGAATGTCAGTGAGGTAATACTGGCCAGTCGGAATAAGGATTGACGTCATTTTGTCTCGCATTAATCAATCCTCTTGAGTACAATTATAGACCATACTGATAGGTGTTTTTAAAAGACATTTGAAGGCAATTTTTTCCTACATTTTTAGAAATTATCTTTAACTTTAAAACTATTTCTTGTTTACTATATGCGCTTCTGTGACGAAATATTCTGATGGAAAACTTGATTTTTTTTTACAAATTCACTTCCTTCATATGTACATGTAGGTCCCTGAATAAAATGCATGGCTTTTTTTATCTTCTAATCTCATTTTTCAAAAGGCTCTAGTATCTTTGAATTTTAATCGCTCCTCCAAACGAGTCAGGGAACAATGTGGCTGGTCTTTCCAATTTAATATAGCCATTAAAAACTATGGAATCCATAAAGTTAGTTTGCGTTATTATGCAATTGAGTAGTTTGAAGATACGCCAGGAATCGTCGGCAAGACTAAAATTTGATCATAAAAACCTCCTGACAAAGCCCCATTGAACTGACTTCTGTCGCGAGAAACCCAATTCATTTTGCTTTTAGCAAATTATGAAAGGGGCTCGCTGACTGAATTGAATTTGCATTCATATTAAGTGCTTTGATATGAGCCAATTTCATATAAATTTTCTAAAAAAAGAAGAAAAAATTTTCTTAAAATGGGAGAGACGTACGTATCTGACCACGAGAGAGGCGAGGTGTACTCATCTTGAGTTCAGAGGAAAAAATATTACAAAAGGTATAATAGTCATTATAGGACTAGTCCTTTGTAGAGTCCTTTGAAAACAGCTAATGGACACTAAACTTCATAAGTCAATTCATTCTCTTAATTTATGAATGTGTTCTTTAACGAAGCGGCTTTGGAAGAGGCATTTATATAGCAAGGTGATGTGTGGCCCAAGAAAAGTTTTCTAAGTGACCGAAGGCATTGTTTTGGATGCAATATCATGTCAAGAAAACACAGAGACCTGCTTTTTGTAAACAATAACGCACACCACTCCAAGAAATAATGAAATTTCATTTGATTCAGCTCGTATATGATTAAGGGAAAAAAATGCATGTTTGAAAAGTATACCTTACAGGGAAAGAAACATTCCACGTTTCCTTTGGCCGCGTAGATTGTAAAATTGGTGTGGGGATTACTATTTGTTACTTCTGTCCCGAAATACACGTCAAATCTGTAGTTCTTATGCTCGTCGCTATTCCGTGACATTCGGTCTTCCCAATCTAATGTATGGACACTGAACATGTCTACATGAACGGTTACATTCTTCAATTGTCATCAAGTGCACACACAGACATTGCAGGGCAAACATTTTAAGAAAGCAATGCCATTTTGTCTCTCCCTGTGTAAACTCAAACAAACGGTAGAAAAACCAAGGAAAAATCCCCGGAAGAAGTGGAATTTGATTGGCAGAAAACGCCGAGTTGTATAGTGCCGAGTTCCTCAGAACTGTAAGGAAAACATTCGCGATTTGATACGTGCAAGATGATGACTCATGGGCTTTTTATTTGACAAGACATCTGATATTTCTGATAAATTCCACATGACGAACTCACAGACGCCCAATGTCCTCTGTCTACCCTGTGCTTGCAGATGTCCTACTCCGCTGCGTCCTCTGCGCTCTCCAACAGGGTGGTGTTTCCATATTTCTACCGTACGTACATGCCCGACCCAATGCTCAACCGGGCCCGTATACGCCTTATCAAGGAGTTCGGCTGGCAGAGGGTAGCCACCATTCACGAGAATCAAGATCTCTTTTCTTTGGTAGGTGAATAGTTCGAAACACGTAGGTGAAGTTTCTACCCTAAAATGGCAAGTCAACCCATATTTTCGTGGAGACAAAAAAATAAAGCAGAATGTGCAGGAGAATGTTTCGGACTTCCCAACAAACAGAACGTATATTCAGTAGCACTCGAAAAGGGAGAACTATCCAAACAATCCCGATAAATATGCCGTTCTGATGTTATATTCTTCATGAACGGAATAATATTACAGATGTACATGTACATCTGTATCATGAACATCGCCCCCGTAAAGTGTCATATGGTGTCATCCCTCCCACTTTTCAAATTTCCATGGCTGGGCGAGTCATCCCCCCTAAAATTCCCCCTCTCCCCATGCCCTTAATTTCTCTAAATTTACACCACTGACGTCACAAAAGGGAGACCGCTATTTCAGTAACAGCCGCCTGGTAAAGTCAATGCCACGTCTATTCCAGCGCGTTTGAAAAATTCAAAGAAAAATCAAGGATTTTGCTATCGCTCAGAGAGATTCTAAAAACATGACCTTCATTATGTCTGTGTATGCTATGTTCCTAATTGTACGAATTACCTCCCCCTTCCCTTCACTGCAATTTGCTCCAATTTTTGGCTGTCTTCTTTTGTTGGCCTGTTACTTTGCGCTGAAATGTGCGTTGGAAGGGGGAAAACTCCATTATAAGTGCTGGAAACCATCCATGAAATGGAAACCTGTATCAAATGAACAATGAGTAATATTTCGTTGCTAAAAGTGTTATCTGCTAAAAGGAGTGGGCGTATTATTGGTTTGTATTCTCCGGAGCCTTTTACCATGGAAAAAAATCCTTAGATATTGATTGATATTACTTTAAATGTGATTCAGTAGATGTTTCAATAAAAGACTTAATAAAAGTTACCGAATTATCACATATAAATTTAAAACATGTTTTTATAAGAGCGCTGGATTCCTAATTATTTTGAGGTATTTCTATATACTTAACTATATTAAACCTTTATATATGTTTTCTATATCGCATTGCATACTGTTCATGCATTTTACCAAATGCATTAAACGAAATCACCGATGTGAGTAAATGTCGCTTTTGCACGCATTTATGATTTCCTACTATTTGCTCGCTCTTCAGTCTCTTGGAGGTCGACTTTTGTCCACAAATACCTTTTAAGAAATTCTCTTCAATAGAGAATGTATAGCAATCTCTCCTTCATCTGTAGGCCATCGATGATATGATCAATCTGTTGAAGGCAGACAATATCACTTTGATTTCCTCGGAGTCATTTGATGAGGATCCCACCAACCAGGTTGCCAATCTCAAGGTAAGTTGGTTGCACAACGTGAACAATGCATTGTTTTGTTCCGGAAGTATGGAATTATGTGGACAGCAGACAGTGTTTTCGTTCATATGAAGACTCAAATCGCATTATATAAAAAGCTGTCAATTTTGAACTGGAGCTTTCTGTTGTAAGGGATGCACGTTTTATAAAACGAATACGCTGGATTAGTGAGGCAGATCAGATCTTGCTACCGCATTATACATGTACCTGCATACGGATAGAACCACAATTACACTGTGCCCGAGATGTTGGTGGTGTGTCACGCAGTTCATGTGAATAGTAATGATGTAATTATGGAGCAGTTTGGAGGGACTTGATATTCTAGACTTCATAAGGCATGAGGTTTTCGTTAAAAAAATCCAATATTTGCCCCCAAATTTTGACGGGAGTCGGAAGCGCAGCACCGCTAGAAACTTATCATTGGCCGGCGTCAGTTGAAAGCCAAGTCTTTTACTGCTTTCCAAATTTTGTCAAAATAGAGTAAGAAGAGTGACTGCCTTTGACAAAACATTCTTTTCTTTTGAGCGAGTATACACTACAAAAACTGGGGTGTTAAATTTAATACCCGCGGTGTTATCAGAAGACTACACCAACACTTTCCACTGGTGTTAAAATTTTAGTGTTATTTGGTCGTACTTGTAACACCTTCTAGTGCACTGTAACACTTATAGGTGTGCAAAGTAACATTATCAGTGTTAAAGTAACACCCTATGGTGTGGTCATCTGATAACACCCAAAAGTGTTGATTTTAACAGCCGAGTTTTTACAGTGTACGGCGGTTTCTTCTGCATGCGAAAACCTCTTTGTAAAATACATTTTTGAAAGCAAAATGTTATCAACTTATCTTAGCACTGCGCTGTCCACCCACGCTGGTGTCTTCTGTACTCAGAAAATGAATAAAAAATTGATGTATTCTAATGGCGGTGTACGTCAGTCAACTTTACTGCGAAACTCAATTTACCTCCAAAGATGATGAATAACTAAAAGCATAGCAGTGGTATCGCACTGAGATGAGATGTTGCTTGGTTGCAGCAGCTGAGGTTGACAACACAAACACTGCTGCTTCTTTCGTGTCTAGCTTCAAAATTCATCGTCCTTGGCTCATGTCACTTAATTATGAAAGGCTCATGAGTTGATAATAGTTTCCCATTTTGAAGCCTGCCAGTACCTCCACTATGATTAAACTGCCCACGAAGGAGGGTCTACTGCAGTGCCGTTTGGTAAAACAAAATTGATTGCCAACCAATTTAACCTTAGAGTCATTTTTTCAGCGCAAATATGAACGAAATCTACGATCATCTTTTTATTGAAAGAACATTCTATTGAGTTTTTGTTTGCACATGTTTCTAACCAATAAGAGGCACGCCTTTAAAACTATCAACAAAAGACAGGATGATTCTTTTGCTTATTTTTGTCTATGAATTAAACATGAAATTATTCTAATACTTGAAGTGTTGAACAAAATAATAATAAACGGAAAATAATAATTGATAATAGAAATCTCAACAAATCTAGGTGTGCCAAGTTAAATGACGATTAAGTGCTATTCCCCTGAATAATATACACTTTCTGGTTTGGATGTGTTTACAAACGACTTTGAATGTCATTCAACAAAATTTCCTCCCTCTTTTCTGTCACTGTCGTATTTTTACCCACATTGGTTGGCCAGCCACGGCTGGCTGTCACCGAAGAAGCAAAAAATTGATGGGGGCATAATGTTAGTGTCGAGCGAAACCTTCATGGCACCAACCCGTGGTGGTATTTCAACTAACGTTGCCTCCCCCCCATCATAGGCAGTATGAGAGAGGTCTGTCGAATGAAATGAAATGATTAAGAACTATCGAAAATTAGCAGCGTGTAAGCAAAAACGCTTGCATAGGCTACAAAATTAATTTTTTTTCTGACAACAGAATGAGAATGAAATGAAATGATTAAGAACTATCGAAAATTAGCAGCGTGTAAGCAAAAACGCTTGCATAGGCTACAAAATTAATTTTTTTTTCTGACAACAGAATGAGAAACCTGTAATAAGACACCTGAGTTGATGTTTCCAAATTCGTGACAAGTCTCTGATGCTACATCTCTCCATAGGATTGTTATTTATGCCAATTTACTTTTAGAAATGTCAACTTGGGCGTAAATCACAAAAGTATATTAACAATGCTATTTTGGTGGGGTGGTACTTCGACCTCCAGTCTCTGATCGCTTTAATTCGTGGCAGGTTGTTCTTACGCAAAGTGAAATTGAAGAAAGAATCAAGTGCATTTCAAAGGAAAAGATGGAAATCTATGGACACTGCGTGTTTCATTCAGAGTCTTGGACTGAAATCTTGCCAATATTTACATGGATCACAGTTTCATTTAAATAATAGGCATTCTACATCAGTGCCGTTTGAAAAGTGCAAAGTTCAAATTATTCCAGATGGCAGTTGATACAATTTGAACAGGTCTACAATTGGTTCATATGCCGCCCAAGCAAGGACAGAAAAGAGTCCTTATTTTGGAATGTATTTTTTTTTTGATGTGGCAACTCCAACTCCAACGCAGGGAGTAGGCCTACTTCCGAGGATGCACTGTTAGAAGATTTGGTGTGGTTCAGATTTAGCTTGGTATATCAATGTCGAAGTCAATAAGGTGCATAGCTTTCATGTTTCTGAGGGTTAATAATTGCATTTTCCTACAGGCTCTCGATGCACGTATTATTATTGTCAACATGTATGAGAGCAAGGCACGACGAGTCATGTGTGAGGTACGTAACTGTGGGATTCGTGTATTGCCTCCGAGTATCAAATTTGCATGGTATTCACGAAGACCCCAATTTCGATCATCTAATGGGGCAGGCTGTCTGTCATTTTGTCAATATTGCTGATAGCCTTCAGAAAATTATCAGTGCGATCTTTGTATGCACCCGCTAATCATACGCAGCAGTGCAAGTGTAGGCTATTAGTGTGTATACGCACACACCTTACATACCTAGTGTGGACATTCTTTTTTTTCGGGGAGTTAAGAATAATCGAACTGGGAACACGATTTTCAGCTGGCTTTTTGTACAAGGTTTCTTGGACCATTCCTCTTCCTTGACTCCGTACCCCGAAATGCCCCTAAACCTCTTTTTCAGAGAAGCGGAAACGTCCTGTGGACGTGTGTAAGTCCCCAGAACGTCTTCTTTTCCTGCCTCGCTTGGACATCTTTTGTTCACAAGTCCACACTAGGTATGTAAGATTAGCGCGAGCGCTCTGTCCATTCTGTGGCTATTGCTAGAAGGGCACGATGCTGCAGCACACCATATAGGTTTACAACGATGTAGCATTGGGTGCGATGCCGTTTCTCATTATGATCACAGTGAAAACTCTTCGTGATTATAGGGTGTCATGCCAGGTGGACTAACTTGGTTACATTCAACTCCATGTATAGGATTAACCATGCCAGACCCTTTTGCTACTAGTAGAACTTTCTTGACGAAATTCAGGTTCATTGCGAGTTTTTTTGTCGAAGTGAGCCGAGATATTAGACCTAGCCAGTGCCTGAAACAAAAAGAGATCACAATTTTGTGACTTGCTAAAAATGGGCCTGATTTATTGCGCTCCACGAAATGCGTCACAGTAGCATAACGCGAACATAATCTCCATAAAAAACGACTTTAAATGAGCATACATGCATGTAGATGGTAATTTTCGGCAGTGGGCAGTTATTGTGTAAGTTATACATTCTACATATAAATCGTCATTTTTCTCATCAACTTGTTAATGACAAGGCTGCGAGGCAGGGTATGATTGGTCCTGGCTATGTGTGGTTTAATCTCGGCTGGTGGAGTTCCAGATGGTGGAAACTTGACGATCCGACGGTAAAGAAGTGCACGACAGCTGAGGTCAAACGCGCCGTGGAAAAGTCGCATTATATTGGTTTCGAGAGCACATTACTGGGGAAAGATGACACCGTCACTGTGGCCGGAATTGTAAGAATCGAATTGTTTTGATTTCCTCTACCTCAGTGCAAGCTACATATGATTGAAACTAAACTGGAGAAAACTTACCGTAACCAGTGCGAGAAATAGACTAGTATGCATGACTATAAGTCACTTATTTCAGCCGCAGTGAATGCTGCACGCTAGCTCCATTAACCCTAACCCTCCTCAATCCTTCGCCTGTTGGAGGACTGAGGAGTGTTAGGGTTAATGACACAAAGGACACCAAAGTTCCGTAAACACCACCGATTCACAGAAACAACACACTACAAAATAACCAGCACTCCCTACTAATAAGTCCACTATTCACATAGGCCCTTATTTTAACAGGAGCAAAATCATTTTATTCAATGGCCCTTCTTAAAACATTAAAGGGCATTAAAGGGACTACTGTGTCAAAGAAATATTTCACTATGCAATAATTAACCTCATTTTCAAGTTTGCTTTTGCTATTTTTATCTGTATCTTGGGGCCTTTTGGGCTTTGTCACTTATGTAACTAAGCAAAAGCTTGCTTCAAATCCCGAGGTATAGCAACAGTGGTTTTAGTATGGAGAATTGAAGTTGCTATGTTCACGTGATTTTAAAGACCTCAGTGTACCAGATTTTATAAAAAAAATTTTAATTCGCAAAAGGCTTATTGGAGGCACTGAACCTTAATGTTGTATTGATTTGTGCACAACAACTGCTAGAATTTTATACTTCGCCATCGCAAATTTCCATTTCCTTTGGAAATTTATTGTTGTATAAGTAAATGATGATAAGCCAGCGACCTTTTCTCAGAAGTGTTTTCCCAAGATCAAATTCTGGGTTCAAACTTTGTACATGAACGCATACGAACTGGATAATGTCTTCCTGCATTTACGTCACACTAACAGCGCCATCACTTGTCTGGAAAAACTTGGTAAATTTTGCATATACAAATATTAACAGTGTACTTTACATTTCACTTATCTCCAAACGGTTTTCATAATGTACAAGAAGAGTTAAGACAAAAACAAAACGCGATTCTAAGAAAAACTGAGTGCCTTGAATCTTTAAGAAACTCATATTTTAAGATTTGGATTGGTTATTTGAACTTTTTTTCTGCAGACACCATTAGAATTTGATCTTGAGCTTCGAAGGAGGCTAACTTTGCCGGAAAACAGTCTGTACAACTACAACGGCATTGCCAGTTTCGCCTACGATGCGGCCTGGGCACTTGCACTGGCACTGAATGAATCGGCAGAGGTGAGTTATCAACAGAATGTTGATTGGTTAAAAATTAAGACATGGTTCAAGGTCTGACAATGAAACTGTCTGTCCATAGGGAGAACGAGTATAAAAGCTATCAAGTTACCCACTTGGTCCATGATGTGGACTCCAAACAAAAAGTGGAGGAATAACGCAAAAGTCAAATTCATCGCAGGTCGCTAAAAAAACAAGGTTCTCGACGTCCCAGTAGCTGAAAGACCTACATTCTCACTTAATCAGTGAAATTTAAGAGGATATGAATGCGTGAAACTATGGGGAAAATTTCGGAAAACTATAAATATAACTAAAAACCTGAGTCACAAAACAGAATTAACAATGTCCTTTTCTGCTGGATGACAAAGAGTTTGACGCTCGACATAGTTTGGGTGGCATTCTCAGATAAAGAAACAATGGTTCATTGAACTTGAAAAACGAACAAGAGGACCTGTTTCTGGTGAACAACCTCACGTGTAGGAACATGAGTAAAGCAGTAAAATTCATTAATCAACGCCTACCAGTAGAAATACACAAATAAATAGGAAACACAATCGAAGACAAAACAGCCCGTTATTTTGTACCCGGTCTTTTCCAAGGTCATGACACTTATCGTTAGCTCAATCCTAAAATTTCCTCGAGGGAAACAACATTACTGTTCAATACTGCAAGTTTATACGCAAGACTGTATTTTTTGTGCTGGACATTTTGAATGTGCGCAGTGGCGGATCCAGGATTTGTACGAAAAGGCCCCCATACTCAAATGTAAGAGTGCGGTATTCCCCATCTGAAATCGGAGGTGATTAAATAACCAGTTGACAGCCGAAGAAATTGAAAAAGAACAAGCCTCTTAAAAATTGGAAAAAAAATGACGGACTGGCCACCTGCTGTTTCCTCTGCGAGATGTTCCGAGGTCAAGCTTAGTGAATCAATGAATCGGTGTAGTGAATTATCCATAAAATGCCTCATTGAAACTTAACAACAAGTAAACAATTTGATTGGAGTCACACCTTCAGCATGATCTCAGACGTTGTGAAGAAAAATTTACAAACGTTATTTTGTGCAATGGTGGGATAAAACGCCCACCATCAGTGGGTGTGGCCCTTGTGGTGAATCGAGGGGGGGGTGTGGAAGCACAAACGGGGACCGTTTTTTTCCGCTCCAGCGAAACAAGGATTTTTCATCATAGTAAGAAGAATTTAGCACCATCCGTCAGAATGGTTACATGTAAAAACAATCATTATAACATTTGCCTCTTCACAAAAAAATCCCTCAAACTCCTCCCCAAAAATGGTTGGTTTCACTCTTGGGTGCTACACAGTGTACAGGCGTGTCATTGTATGGACCTGTGCACAAAAGAAGTCCACATAATGCATGGTAGGATGGCGTTGTGTGGACTTGCACATGTCCACACAAGGTTTCCCCCTTTCTGGAAAAGGGGTTTAGAGGCATTTTGGGGTCGGGGTCGTAAAAGGAAGAGGAATAGTCAAGGAAACCTTGTACAAAAAACAGCCAAAGTTCTTGTTCCTGGTTGAAGAAAAATGAGTATTTTCACAGAGTTTTCTTAACTGCACGAAAAAAAAGGAATGCCCACAGTAGGTACGTAACGGAAACATGTGTGATTGTACAGATGTAAGAAACACCTCCAGATTTTTTTGAAGGGGGCACCCAACCTATTTTCCAATCTGATGAACAAATATGAAAAGTCATCAGTGACATTCGGAACATTGGCGGACCTCTGTACATATGCCTCAATTCACTTCAGAAACGATATTGAATTTTTCGTCAGATTTTGAAGACGAAGAATTTTTCTGACGGAAGCTCACGTCGTCTGGAAGACTTTACCTATGATGACAACGAGATGAGTAAGGTGTTCTTCGATTCGTTACACGGGACAAAGTTCTACGGTACCTCGGTATGTCTCGATTTAAGTAACCACGACCGCGAAATGTAGTCAGTTGCTTTAGATTAGATGTGGACTGAGACCCTGTGTTTGTTTTGTCGGCTGTTTGTAAAGTTTACATGTCAACCTAAATTCCTATTTTTCAACAATACCGGGAAATTACACGTTTTAAGTGATAATGAACGGGAAATGTAACTGATTTTCTAGTTTAACGATTAACATTCAACGAACCAGTTCCACCTTTTTTTAATGCATACAAAAAGTAGGTCTGTTTATTTCAATTGAAAAAAATGAACCTAAGTAGCCAAAGCAACAGCCGGTTACTCAGGACGAACACTAACAGTAGCAGTCACTGGCTCGATAACTAGAAAATGCTGAGGGATGTGAACAGGTGTTTAACCGCACAGGGAGGTTTTTCGCAACAAAGTGGTTTAAAACTTAATGACTGTGCATGTTGTTTCTTGTCTGTAAATATCAATAGTTAAAGATAATGATGCATTCTTTTTCAATCCCCTTGTTTCTCATATGTTCCATTAACATCTACAATAATTGGACGATTCAAGCTTTAGGAACAAAGAAGAAGTTAGACATCTAAAATAACATAGTAACCGTTTTGTAAGTAATGACGGGTGGCACTCGTCAACTCCATTCCAAAGTCGGTCTGCTAATTTTAATTAATCTGTCGTCGCAGTCAAATTTATACTTATTACTTAAGGATTTTTAAATTTCATTTAGCCAAAGATGCCAGCAGGTGTGTAAACCTAACATTGCACTCTGTTAAAAAAAGTGCAGTGTTTCATGGGATAAACCTGGAGAGAAATCTGTAACAATGTAGTGCAGGCGACAGACAGACCAATCCTTCAGTCCTGCATTGTCACATAGGATAAACATTAGAGGCGTACACAACACAAGGACACTTCCATTCCCAAAGTAGACAGTGCAGCTTCCTTATATAGTTCTACTCTTAGCTTCCTTTTATATTGTCAGTTTTATCAAACAGTGAAAATATTTCGCACGATAGTATTGCTAAAGATTGACAGTTGACTACATTTTAGGATATTGAAGGATACTGTTTATGACTGATTGTTTAGGCTATTGCAAAGTGTAAACTTTTCAGCCCCAAATAGAATTCAAAAACTTAGAAAAGCTGTATAACTCTCATGGCATTTAGTCTCCTTTGTACAATGTCGTTGCACCATATAAATTTGTCAGCACCAAATGTCGCTGGAATTATCGGCACTTCGGTGACTTTTTATTGTATTGGTGCATGCCAGTATTCCGTACAAACATTTTCAGCAAGCAAATTTTGGGGTTCACCTCTTGAACATAAAACCTAACAGCATCTTCCCAGAATAGCAACAGCGCCGTCAGTTGTCTGGAAATTGAAGACGATTTTTAATGTTGAAAGAAGTACAATTTTCAGTGCAATCAGCCCTAAAAGGATGCCGAATAGTTCATTGAATTTGAGTAGACGGTTGGTTGTGTCGTATTGGAAAACGTATTGCTTGTCTCCTCATATATGAGCATTAGTGACTTGAAGGCTTCCCTGAAGCTAACAAACAATACGTTCTTTCAAATCACCACCCCCATCCCCCGAGATTTACGCCACTCTACATATTGTAAAGGCTAAACCCATTCAACTCCATCCTTCAGTCGGACTCAGAACCTCTATTACAATTTAAAAATATCATATATTATAGCTTGAAGTTAAATGAAAGTATGTTGTTAAATGATTGTGAAACGTTTATGAATTTAGCCGATGTCTTGTAGTTCTATTTCCAAGCAAGTTTGTACGCAGCTTAACAATGACGACTGTAAACGCTGTCATGCGGACCCGGTTTCAGACGTTGACTAAATTACCTCATTGGTTTAGAAATGTCATTCCATTACCCCTGCAATTTTCCTTTCTCTTGAAAATTTTCATCAATGATTAACCCCATCTTCTGTTTGTGGCAGGGTCCTGTCAGCTTTCTGGGAGCTGATCGAATCTCAGTTACACAGATAGAACAACTAAGAGGTACATGCCATTACAGCCTCGTTGGCACTTTTACAACGAAAGGGCATTATAGTGTTATTGAATTTCTGGACGTGGCAGGGATGTAATCAAGAATATGATAAACAGGGAAAAAGTAGTTCTGTCTTTTTTATGCAATTTACTTTTAGTTCTTAAATACTGATTGAGAATTGATCTACTCGAATTAGACGCATTCATTTTATGCTTTTTGTTCCCGTTCCTCAATCTCGACAGTTGATTGCTGGCCGAATTGGATTAAGCATGACGGTAGATGTTATATGTTTGTCAGCGACTCAGCGAGCAGCGAGGAAGCTGCGACACATTGTCGTGCCAACGACGAAAGTCAGTTGGCGTCGGTGGACACCGACAATCACACCGAGATCGACTTTCTCATGCGAACACTGAAGTCGTTAGTGGCCAACAAGACGACCAATGACACAAAGTGGTACACACGCTGACATTTTGTAGCAGTGCTTTCCTGAATGGAATGATCTCTATTATCACACGATATATCCTCGACACTGCTGTTTTGATATACCCATTAAAGCCCTTTTGCGTGTTAGTCCATGGTCAAAGATTAACTGATGCATGTATCTCCTGCCTTCCCAAAGCTGAGGGGGCTTTCGTTGACATTTTTCCCACGATGTTTGGGTTTTTTTTCTGATATGCAAACGAAAAACATTAGCAACCATGATGGGATGGTGGGTGGGTGAAAAATAAGACTCTTATCGACTTACATGTAAAATGACACCAAAAAGAAGATAATTTGGCTTAGCTTTGGCAGTATGGGCCAACTTATTCCATCATCGCTCACATCAGAAAACATCCTTTTTTATTTTAGGATGGTTAATATGGTCTCCAACTCAACAAATTCAACATGCTCAGCACTGGAAATATCTGATGATGATCCCAGAATTGTTCAAGTCCACTGCAACCTTTTACTTCCGTTTATTTGCAAAGATGAAGCTGGTGAGTTCTTCAGTTTTTACTTAATTGTAGTTTGACTTGTCTGGGTTGCTAGTGAACGTTGTCTAATATTTCCATCGGGATTTAAATGCGCTCTCTCAGGCAGGGAGAGGGTATAGAATTACCCGCCTCTTTAATGGAACAAAATTATTGGAGTCTTCTTGAATGTGAGACAGTCCCTTCGTGTGCGGGACCACTTTGCATTACACGATTTGCAGTAATTCCAATGTTCTCCCGTGAACTCGCTGCAGACCTGAGGGTAATGGGTTACCTTGCTTGGTGAGTGGTTTTGTTCATAAGACTCTCGGGGGTCAATCCAAGTCCAAATCAGTTTAGCATCTTCAATCTGCAGTTTCGCGGTATATTCAATTTCTTGTTTATCAAATATGCCCTCCTAGGGTTTGGTTAATTCGATGAAATCCTTCTGTTAACTCAAATTGCACTTAATACATGTATTCTCAGTGACCAATATCTTTAGCGGAAGAAAAGTCTGGGAATTGTTGAGTTGAAAATTGCATGAAAAGAGATGAGTAAAAATTAATGCAGTCATAATTTTTACCAGCAGATAAAGTCGCATCAATTAAACTTATAATGAGCCTACCATACACAACTTTGCATTTCGTGCGCGATATAAAAGGTCATGGTTGGATGGATGAACCCATTAAAATGGAGATCAATGGATGAACCTTGCTTGTTCATGGGAAACACTGTTACAAAGATATTAAGGCTGTTTTCCAATACTCAACTTTGTCTCCGTCTCAGGCTTCGTCTCCAAAACCCATCCCCGATGTGGGCCTGAAGCGTTTAAATTAAACTGAAGTACTGTAATGTTTTTGCATCTTATTTAATGTTTCGTGGCAATATAAGACTTAATATTGCGCTTATAACGCCAAAGTCAGGTAGTAAAAAAATACTGCTAAAGCCTTACGGAGCCGAAGGCGAGTATTGGAAAACGGCCGTATAAGGGCTATTCATAATAGTGCGCCTCCAAGAGTTTACATTGCGTTGGCCAATCACAACGCGCGAAATCTGTCGACCCCTTCCAAATGCGCACTGGGTCGACAAATTTAGCGCATTGTGATTGGTCAACGCGTTGCAAACTCTTTTAGGCATACTATAGTGAATCGACTTAATACAGAGATTTGTAGGCCAAATGTTCATCATGCGCAACTTTAACTGGTTCATTCTTGAATGCACATAGCTATACTGTCTTCCAAATGCCTTAGATTTCTTGTCAATAAATTCTCGTGAACTTTTTGTTCTTTACCCAAATAGAATATATTGAGGCGGTCGTAGGGGAATACGACACAGCAAGTGATGTGTTGAGACTTACATCCGACCTTCTGTGGCCAGGTACAAAATCATAATAGATCTTTTTCGTCCGCGTGACTAAATGTATACAATACCACCACGTGTGGACCGCCTTGGCCACGGTGATCGTATGCATTCCTACGGACAGCTTAAACCACGTGCAAGCACACGTGCAAATGCTGCATGCTCGACTAGACTAGTATATCTTGAATAGGTAGATTACCAACACAACACACCATAGGTCCAGCACGATCGTGACATCGCTGGAAAAGGTATATTCATATTCCAACAATATTACTTATATCATTGCATGATCGTACAGAAACGTATTACCGCCACACACATATTTTTTTTCTTTCTCGTACGTACGTGAGAACTTTCACGTTTCTCGTACGTACATGAGAACTTTCACGTACGTACACACGATACTTTCACGTTCGTACATGACAGTTTTAGTTTCAGGTACATATGTAGAAACTTTCAAGTACGTACGTGAAAATATACATATAAATTTAGTTTCACGTCCCGTACGAACGTGATAGTAACTGCCTGTTAGCTTTATATACGTACGTGAAACTAACTCTCATAAAGGCCTACGTAAAAAAAAAATTGTATGTGTGTGGCGGTATTACGTTTCCGTATGGTTGTGCGTCGTGGATGCTTAAACATTATTTGCGAGGTTCTGCGCTAAAGAATACCCTCTCCATTTATGTACATGTATTTCGTTTAGCTTATTGGATTTGCTGTAGGGAACTTAAATACGACAATGCAATTTTATTCTATTAGGTGGAACATTAGACGAATTTAGTTTCAATATCTTTCATCTTTATTTCCATACTTAACAGATGGGGAAGTGCCACTTGATAGGACACCAGTTATTCAGATTCACCGAATAGAAACATACGTAGGCGTCAGTTTTGCTGTGTTTCTCGGCCTGTCTTCCTTGGCCGGTATTGGAATTCTGCTGTCCGTAGTCTTTCTTATTTTCAATCTTCGCTACCGTTCTCTGAGGTAAGTTGAAGAGTGAGAGCACGCTTTCTGCTGTAACCCGTTTTCCATAATAAACACATTCAGCCAAAAAAGGTCAAAGTAGTACACCTTCGACATGGGTTCTGTTAGTGTATTCGGGCACATTATACCCAGCAAGATGTGGGACGGAGGGGTACCCCCTTACATGTCAATCCCTATGCACATCCCCCTAATAAAGAATACCTGAGATTCCAATCAAACAATAAACACAAATGTGGCGGTGGTGGTGAGGGTGCCCTCCGACCCATATCTTGCTCCATATGTGGCACGGGGTGAGGCAACTGGCCAAACTTGCTCATCGTAATCTGCACAATGAGGTTTTGAAAGAAGGCGATAAAAACTCCACACCCAACTTTTTAAAATCGATTATCTCCTTTAAAGTGATTTATTCATCATCTCCTTGAAACTAATAAACTAAGGAATCACTGACTAAATTGGGCCAGTCTCTGATTTCTTCACTGCTAAAACTCGGGTGTCAAATTTAACCCCCTGGTGTTATCAGAGGACTACACCAACACTTTTCACTGGTGTTAAAAATTTGGTGTTATTTGATGTTACTTTTAATACCCTCCAATGCATTGTAACACTTATAAGTGTGCAAAGTAACACCAGCGGTGTTAAAGTAACACCCTATGGGGTGGTCATCTGATAATATTAAAAAGTGTTGATTTTAACACCACGGTTTTTGCAGCGATCCCTTCGCCATTTCGTCTGTGTGCTGTCCTTTATCTTCTCAACCAGGGGCAAGTTCGATTGTCGACAAATTCAACCAGTGGTCGATTTTGTCGGGTAATGTATGCAGAAAATATACATTGCACCTAATAAACTCGACCAGTGGTCGACAAATCGTCCATGATCGAACGTGCGCAGAGTGTAAAGCTCTTGTGGGAAGAGTCCCATAATGCAGACAAAACTGTTTTCCCAACAGTGGTATATCAGCCATCATAAAGTGATAATATGTACCAAAGAGACAAAATTTAACAGGGAAAATATTGGAGCACTTACTCAGAAAACATTTGGATTATCCGGACCACGGTTTGTGCACGGGGGGTCATTGCAAGTACATGTAATGCCCATGTGTGGGATACCCTGCACGATATGCGGTAAAGGGGGACCCCCCCATGTGATGTGCAAGCTGTATACCCTAAGGCTGTTGTGCCTACTGCACCCCCCCCCTCGGAAATCTGAAAGGAATTCCAAAGATTCCATTAACACAAAAGAAGACGCAATGGGGGGGGGTCCCCTTTGCCGCATATCGCCCATCATATGGTGTGTGGAACCCTTTCCGCTATACCCAGCAAGGAATGAGACCGAGGGGNCACATGCCCCCCAAGATGTCTGAAAGGAATTCCCCATATTCCTGCGAGACAATGACCAACACAAAGCAGGGGAGTTCTCTCCGTCTCATACCTTGCTGCATATGCTTTCCGCTTTCGCTTGTTACGGTGTGACTTCAGACCAGGTTTTGTCGAGCGTTTCGTCACTCACGCAACCGCTGAAAGGATTTCTTGTAGATCACCTTTTGTTGTTGGTGCCGCTGAAGGGTCTTTGAAGGTCGCCGTCGCAGTCGTTTTCCTTCGTTGAACCGTAGCAACGTGAGAACGTTATTGTCGCCCCATAAGAAACTGTTCACTATAGGCTCCACCAAACTTTAGCGGTTCTCTTTTTTGTACAAGGAATTCCAAAGATTCCATCAACACAAAAGAACGCACAATAGAGGGGTCCCCCTTTCCACATATCTTGCATCATATGCATTTCAACTTTATTGCTGGTAACAATTACCTGGTTTGAAGACCCTGATATCTAGTATCTACTTGCACACCACGCCTGTGCTTCCTATGTCCCGATCTCATTTGATTGCAAGCACCAGCCTGAAAATTATTAGACGGTGCTTTGTATGGCAAAATCAGATCTCATTTGACTTGAACACTAAGCCTGAAAATCATCAGATGTTGCTTTCTATGGTCCAACCAAATCTCATTTGACTATGAACACCAAGGCTGAATGTCATCAGACGTTGATTTCTGTGGCCCAACCAAATCTCATTTGACTATGAACACCAAGCCTGAATATCATCAGACGTTGCTTTCTATGTCCTAGCCGAATCCCATTTGAACATGGTTTATATAATGAAACAATATTCTGGTCTTCTGACCTACATCTATTGGTCGGATACACCACAGAACTCTACGACCCATCCTCATCATGCTCGTATATACACGTACGCAACAATGGGCCATCACATCAACCCGCGTAGAGATGTGCACGGCTAGTAAATGAACTTATGACATTGTCACGTTGGTTCATCAGTTCGAATTGGTTATATAAAACAAATAACTGCCTTTGAATAAGATGAAAACGTCGGAATACTGTACATTTATTATCACAAAGCAATTATTTCATTTTACACAACATGGTTGGAAAGATTTTTGAAATATCACCACAGTCGCTTCGAAAAACACATGTCTTCTGTTGAAATGGCTATTGTTGGTGTTTGTGGGGTTTTTTGGAGATTCTTTGTTTTGGTGATACACCTTGCACTCCTTCAATATGAAACTTTTGCCTTTTCTTCAATGAAAATAAGCAGGGTCGTTTGAAAAGCCACACTTCATAAGCAGTATTCAAAAGACACTCTTTTTCGCACCCTGATGCAAACTCATTGTACACACTCCTGAAGGTATTACGCACCCAAGCCTAATGGTGGGGAATTTACCACGTGCATGCCTCTAGAACAGCTCTCAGAACAAACATGAATATTTACGATGTATAAGAAAGCGAACTACTAAAGTTGGGCGGAGCCTATCGTGCACAGTTTCTTATTGGGCAACAATAATGTTCTCACGTCGCTACGGTTTAAGGCCGTTCAAAACGAAGGAACACTAGTGCGACATAACAAAACAAGGAAAAAAAACTAGCATCTATTCAGAATTAACTTTAAGAGGTATTACCGCGGTGCGAGGCTGACGGGAAATGCCACACCGTCGAAGGCCTACCTCGCCACTATCACTTCTTGCGAACCCATGAAAATGCCCAATAGAAAAACCACGCCCCCTGATGAAAATAAAAATAATGTTCTAAATCACACCTGGTCGTTCAAACGAATGTTCACAAAAATTTGCGAATTAAATTTGAATAAAATCCCGTACATTGGGTTATCCGATTGCACATTAACACAACAATTTGAATTCCCCCGACTAAAAACACTGTCGCTATCCCCCGTGATTCGGGCAAGCTTTTGCGTAGCGACCAACATCTTTTTTGGACTGGTTCCTTTGTGCCCTTCTTATCCATTGGGAACAGTGTATTGGTGCAAGGCGTCTCCTATGTAACTAAGCAAACGAATCGCAAGGTGAATTTTTTGTGAATTTAAAGAACTCAGTTTACCATATTTTATTTAAATTTAATTCGAAAAGGCTTTTTTCTCGGAATGTCCCTCCGGCAGTTGAGTGACTGGCTTAAAAAGCTGAAAAACACGATGGTTGGTTAATTAACTAACTTGTTTCTTGCTGGGTGAGAACTGGTTAACCAGCGATCGGTTTGCATTGCTGGCGAGCTTAGGGTACTTGTTCTAAAGAGATTACGCTTTGGGAGTTGGGTTAGAATTTCACAGTTCACATAGGCCTATCTGAACACCTTATTGCAAAGTTGCTTGGCATCAATTTAGCACTCCCAGCACTGGCTATTTGTGTTTTGATGTAGACCTAGACCTGTTGTCGTATTTGAAACTGTTTTCCTATTTTTCAGAATCGTTCGGATGTCAAGCCCGAATCTTAATAATATTATCCTGATCGGCACAGTCATCGTCTATACTTCCGTTGTTCTGTTTGGAATTGATATGAATTTGGTGGCTGAAGAATATCTCGTGTTTTTTTGTTATGTAAGTGCATATTGTTTATAATACTTCAGAATTCTTTATTTTTATCGGTGATTTTTTTGTTTCTGTTTATTATTTGGCTGCCTTTGTCGACAGTCAGACGGTATATGAGCAAGGAATCCTCCAATATTGAAAAAGTTGTGAAATCAAAATTGTTTGGGCAGATACGGAATAGAACCAATGATGATTTGCATCTCCTTGCGGGATACCGTACAGGTTTATGCGGTGAAAAGTAGGCCCTGTGTTTTAATTTCAAAAAGAAAAAAACAGTGTAATTAGAAAACTGTTCCAAAGAATTATTAAACAACTGTTCCCAAAAGATGTTCGCCGAAACAGAAAGATGTAAACGTATGCGCACAGATATCATGGTAATCGGCAAACAATTATTGGTGGCTAGTTAAGAATTGGTGACGGAATTAGTGATGTCCTTTTCTTTAGACAAGAGTGTGGCTTATGGCCGTTGGATTCGTCTTAGCATTTGGAGCAATGTTTAGTAAAACCTGGAGAGTCCATAAAGTCGTTGCACGGAAAACGCCCAAGAGAAAGGTGAGTTGGTTGGGCTTTGCTGTGGTGTACAATTACAGATTGCCATTATTTTAATGGTTATGCATGCTGGGGACGACTGAAGGCGCCTTTTCATGTGCGCGTCGACACTTGCGCCGAACGTTGCGTATCCATCAAATCGCTCCCGGGGCCTATTTTGACGGCCGAACATATGGCATGTTAGGGGAGACGATTTTTGTGTCCACGAAAGTAAAACGCATGTACGCATCGTGAAAGGCAACGCACCTAAAATACGTACATATGCAAATGTGACTTAACAGAGTTCAGAATGAAAGCAAGTCATTGAAGTCAATATCTAATAGTGTTAAGGAACCCACACCTCAATGGATCAAGAAGACAAGAAAATGTATTGTGGTAGTTTTTAAAGTTTTCTGGTCTCTTTCACGTTCCGCCCTCAGGTTGTGCAAGATCGGCAGCTGATTGCCATGGTGGGTGTTTTCCTTCTTATTGATGTTGCCATCCTGGTACCATGGCAACTCATCTTTCCGTGGCATCTGGATAGAAAATATCTGCGGGAGAGGGTAAGGGTGACGCACGGCAGATAAGGATTCTAGAGCAGCACGAAACTGAACACATCTCACTGGTGGTGGCTTTGATTTTTAGTTGGTTGGAAATGGTTTAAGCAACTGCAAAGTACATTGTTAACCTGATTAAAGACAAAGACAATTTCCCTATTTTGAAGGCTAATTTTATTACGATGTGATCCTAAATTTGGTTTGGGTATTATTAAAGCAAATTACCACTACTATTCATAACAATGGCGTAGCTGGGATCTTACTGGAAGGGCCTCAAAGGGGGCACAAAGGGGGCACCAGCATCTTACGGGGGGGCACCAGCTTTCAGTGATGGGATTTTGGGAGCAATTTTTGTTAGCCTTCTTCAATGTCCATCCATCCTTTTTTTCAGTGGGGGCCATCGGGAATTTGTGTGGGAGGCACGTGCCCCCAGCCCCCCCTCCATTGCGACGCCACCGGTTAGTAATCGGTCTGATGACTACAGCAACAATGACGGCATCAGTTGGTGGCCATGGTTTTCACCTGGAGCAGTGTCTTCTATGTTATTTGCGTTTCACATTGCTATCACACTCCTTAAATATCAGGACGTATCAGCATGGTTTCCAGCTATGAATCAGTTTTTAAGGAACTTTGTCGGTCGAACGATTATTCCTTGGTAATGTCTTTCTCCCCCCCCCCCGCAGCTCCACCCAGAGAATGAAACAGTGATACTTGTTCCCTACATCACGACATGCACCGGGGATTATTACCTATATTGGAGTATTGCTCTGTATTCCCTCAAAGGGCTGCTACTGGTTTTCGGCGCCTTCCTGGCTTGGGAGACTCGTCAGGTACGACTCTTGTTCTTTATATAAAGAGTACATTACATTCGTAAAGTCAAAGTGTTGGAATACTATAGACTGTATACGATCGCGACAGAGCATTTCGATTGGCTTATGTCAGATCTAGCGGTCGTACTCTGTTTATTCACAACATCTAGATTATTTTCCTGAGAACAGGTAAAGTACTACTCCTGGTGAAAGGAGGAGCAGAAAGGATGCAACACAAGAGTAAGGAGTAAACTTTAATCATGTACCATACACAGAGTATTTAACCACTTTATCCTCCAGGTGACTATCCCAGCCTTAAATGACAGCAAACTTATCGGCATAAGCGTCTACAATGTTGTTATATTATGCATCGTGGGTCTCGCCATCAACCTGGTCCTGGGCCAAGACCCGCAGACGCTGTACATCTTTAACTCGGCTATCTCGATCTTCTGCACCACGTTGACGATTCTTATTGTGTTTGTACCAAAGGTAATAGCAGGAGAGTACATGAGTTTTAAAAGAAGAGAAATTGTTTCAGGAAAGTAAAAATGCAAAAACTGCTGCATAGTACTTGCTAGCTATAGTGACATAAATTATACAAATTAAATCAGGAAGGGGGACTGATGTCTCGATCCAACCCAACCTTTATCAGAGTCAAAACAAAATCATAGCACTTGTCACTTACCTGGTTGATGCTTCACGACATCAAGATCAATGTTATCACGAGCTTGGCAGTCGAGTAAGACGTAGTAAGCAGGAGGTCGTGGGTTCAAGTCCACCCGAGTAAGCTTGTCATTTTTTTTGCAAGCTCTCGGACAAGTGTTTATGAACATACGTTGGGTGAGGGCTAAGCCCATAACTGAAAAGTTCACTCCTGTAAGTTGTTTCAGATACGCGCTATTATCATCATTTTGATACTTTACTTGACCTATTTGTGAAAGTATGGGAATAATGTTGCTTTCGAATTGAATTGAAGTAACTGCATAGTTATATATCTTCCTTCCTAACCAGAGTAGTGCTGTTCGATTTCCACGACTCATTCCTTTGACTCATTTCCTTCTGACCTATAGGTGATTGCTGTGCACAAAAACCCCATGGAGGACCCCATGCGGGAATCAACCGTTAAAAGTGTGTCTTGTAGTTCTCCGGATAGTACGAATAGCAACAGAGAAATGACTGAGGAAAATCGCAAACTGAAAGAAAGAGTTGCCAAGGTAATAATGAGGTGGTTCATTTAACAATTTTCACAGTTTATTACTTAGCATGTTATGCAAGTAGTATCCGTCCGAGAACTTGAAGATCTTGTAAAACCGTTGAAACGGTCGAAGCCCTCTCTCAGGGTAGTCACGCACCCAGGAGTTTTGTTGGAAGGGGTTTGCTTTCGCAACTTACTTAATTTTACCCCGTCAAATATGATGCTTAAGCTCCTACCTCTCCGTTGGTAGGCGTACACTGTATCTTCAATTCTCAGAAAAATTAAATTCCTGGGTGGTGGTGGTGGTGTGGGCGGGTTCAGGCCTCTAAGGCTCTCTTGGGTACCATACTGGATCATGGCTACGTGTTCATAATTATAGAGCCTTTAAGACCAGCCTATTACATAAACACCAAATGGTGTTTATTCGACACTGTTGTTTTAATAGTTATGACTAACCTAGACTTGTACATTATACAATACATTTTTATTTATATTTAAATCCTATCTAATTATATCTAAACGTGATTCTCATGGTATAGCTTGAAAAGTGTCTGAAAGAAATTCAACAAAACAGTGGCAATGTCAGCGAGTCACAACGGCGTAACAACCTTCCAAGTGGACCCTCTCATAGCCAGATGAAGATGCGAACATGCAACCTGGGCATGTGGTGTTGTGGTCTAATCTGTGGCTGCTCACCGGGCGAGGTCCACCGCTCCGCCGGAGGACGACGCCGACGGCAGAGTGACTCGGCCCACGCCGCTCACGTCAACGAAGTGGACCTGTCACTGGAAATAACGGCAAGCACGTCAGTTGCACCTGTTGCCGATGATCTAAATCTCGCAGCGCAGTCGTAAGTGCGAAGTTGGGAAAAATGATCATTGGAAAGTCGCCTAGCAATAATAACGTGGAAAAAATGGGAAAATGAAGTTGAAACTGGATGGTCTTTCTGCGCATGCGTAATTCATTCAGGCGCGGCCTTCACCTCGTAGTGACTGCAGGTAATGGCCCCACAGCCTCTGAATATTCTTTGGTTGTCATGTTTCCTGTCTTCTTTACCCTCATTACGATCCTCAAATTACTCGAAATAAATCCTTTCGAGTGCAGTCACGGCGCTTGGTTTCCATGGTTTCAATCAGCACCACATAGACGCGTGGAAATGGCATGTTGCTAATGAGGGGTATTTGTTATCGTTACTTCCGCCTTTTCAAACAGGCAGCAGACATGGCTGACATTAGCAATACACGGATATTTAAATGTACTCAAGATTCTGAATTTTAACCAAAAAGTACAGAAACTCACATGATTTCAGGAATCTGGACGGCTGATTGTGATTACCAGGTCTGTAGTCCCAAATGTATTCCTTCACTTATACGCCAGCTTGATTTTCAATTTCCGAACCCCTGTGTGCAGTAATGCAAGCTCTAGGGCGATACATTTTAATTACAAAGTACTCATTTCAACGTGGAATTTTCTGCAGCCAGAAAACACTTTACTGGTAGCAGAGAGAAAAGTCAATCAGATTATGTGCAGTTTGGGCACAGTATTCAACGAGTCGTAGCTATTGGTTTTCATGCGTAGGGCTCCTCTTAGATCTCGAGGTTCCCAGCCCAGCATGAATTCCTGCTTGTCCATATCCAAGCGCCTTGTGAGGGAGGAAAACGATACGAGTCCTAAGCCTAATTGGCCTCCGAGTCGATCTGTATCTGGAGCCTGCTTTCCCAGAGTTTGCGCATGCATAGTCCTAGCACTAGCAGGGTTTACCCGTTAGGCTAAGGTACTGTTGGTATTTTAGGCCTTGAAAATTAAATGCTGTCAAATTAAAGACTTTCAAAAAGCCAATCACTGCTCGTATAAGCGACGGTGCGTCCCAACGGTATTCTAGCGCATGCGTAGTACGTAATCACAGTGTTTTACGTGAAGTACAATGTACATATATGCGTGTAAGGCATGTTCTCGTGCTTTCTCTTTCCTTTCAAAAATAAAACTTCTCCAAATCCATGAAGAGGATAAAGAAAAGAATGTTCAACATCAATTATGCTTATTCTTAACAAGACTTTCAGAAAAAAGTGAGTTTAGGATTAATTGCATGAGGGTATATTTTCTCTCCTGGTGTGTAGGCCTATAAAAATGAACATTGCAATTTTTAAGAATTAAAGATTGAAAATTTTACCTCCAATTATTCAAAATGAACATTTGTACGACTAATTTCAAATTTAAATTGAGTTGTACTCTCATTTAGTATCCAGCAGGATGTGTATCACTATATGTTGTTCTGTTAGCTGCGTAAGATTATTCACACCATTGGTGTAGCCACGGGGGGCCTGGGGAGCACGCCCCCCCCCCCACAAATTACTGGTGCCCCCCCACAAAAAGCGGATGAATGGATATTGAACAAGGCTAACAAAAACACACCCTCCCCAAAACACACCACTGAAAGCTGGTGCCCCTTTGTTCCCCCCAGTAAAATCCTAGCTACGCCACTGGTTCACACTTCATAAATTACAAAAATGTACAAAGCAAAGCATCAAACTAAGGTGACTAGGCCTATAAGCTACACTACTGACGGAGGACCCATAGAGTTTGAAGTTTGAACATGAAAATTCTAGTGGTCGTTGCCACACGGATTTCTAGTGGCAATTTGTAACATTTTTCAAAGTTTTAGGGAAAGCGAGAATATTTAGCAGTCGTGTATATTTGAATATTGGTTTGATATGCACGAGATCGCAGCCTACTGTCTAGTGTAAATATTTGTTTTCGCATTACAACGATGCCATAACGTCACATGTACCGGACAGTGCAACTGTCACTCATACAAAATTAAGGCTATTGGTGAAATTTGCAGGTTTTCTCAGTCTCGTTTGCGCGCAGGCTAGACCAAGAAGTCTTCACCGGTTAGTCGGCACACCTTAAGCCCGTTTCGGACGTGCTGATCGAACTTCTTCATGGATGTACGATCGCTTCCATGTTTCAATCACGTTCACAAGTGAAACATAGAAACCTTCACTCCGGGAACTGTAGGCGCGGCGCCCTCCACCACATACATTCACGCAGAGTAATGATCTCGCCAAAACTTGAAGCGCATTTTAGGAATCTTCCAAAGACCGTTCTGCTGACAAAAGACGAGACGAAAACCGTGGCTAGTCGTAAATATCGACCGACGTAGGACAGACAAATAGAACGTCTAGAGGCTTTGAAATTGAATTATAATTTTCTTAACCAGGACCAGTGACCCATTGTCACATCGTTTATTTCTGCTTCTGCGGTAAGCGTGTGTGGCGCCATTGTGACAATTTTAATAGATGTGCCAAGGTAAGATGTTTTATTCTGATGGCAACTTTACCGTTTCTCCACTTATGAATGGCTTTCAGGTGTGAAAAGTCAGTGGGCAAGGTTTATTCTTCGGAAAATTTGGAGAACACAAAATAAAAATTCAGAAAAACATTAGCTTTGCCGAGTAACAAGGAAATATCATTTGTAAAAGAATATCTGGGCTTTGTTGGTACCCCCCCCGAAATTGTTTTCTACGTAAATTGACCAAGATTTGAATACTGCTAGGTCTAAAGCAAGAAAAATGAAGCTAGGGTGACTTCTCCAGCAACTACAATGGATATCTTCAACTGATCTTTGAAAAATTGACGCAATTTGTGGTACATAATAATTATGATAGTTATGTGCATATCTTTGAAATTGCATAACACAATTAATGGTTATTTTTCACACACCGAGTTTTTATATCTTAAAGTAACATTATTCAGTGTCTTGTAATCAGTACTGTCAGCATCTTTGGTAAGCACAGAGGTTTACTTTCAGAGTTGTAATGATCGTTATTATTGTATTATCAGGTGTAACGAATTTATTTCTGGAGGTACAATTATTTATTTCAGTTTGCAGCTTTTCATTTCATCCAACTTATATTAATTTACATTTTATTAAATCCACATGTGTATATATCTTGCATATAGCACTGGCTGCAAAGGTAAACCCACTTCGTTTCACGTTCCAGCCTTGTCACCTGTTATAAACTTGGAGTTTCAACAATGACCAAGTGGGTGCTCGTGTCTATTTGCTGATGTAACAGGTATAATTTACATGTAAAAATGTGAAGCAGGTCGCTCATTCTTTGGTCAGTCGGACTGACCCACGGAAATAGGGAGTGGCCAACAACTAGGATGGTGGAATGTTGATCAAAAACAGGTTTGGGTTGGGGGTGGTGCATGGTGTTCGTACATACACGTATACCAACCCCTGACAGACCACAATAACGCTACACCTAACCTAGCAACATATAACATTCCAACAAATTTTATTTTGCTGCCATAGAAGTATCCTTTTAAATAACTGCTTTATTGTCTACCAATTGTTGCAAACTTGGTGTTGATAGCATTCATCAACGGATGGTGGTGGTGGGGGCGGCAAAGGGACTCCGGCCGCCCCTAAAAGGGGCAGTTATTTTGGGGTAGGAATAATGAAAAGTATTTTTAAAAAAGTATTCATTCCTTCCATCCATGTGAGTAAAAGCCCCAAATTTATTCCTTCCTCTCAAATAAGGCTATAAAAGGTTAAATAAACAAATTCCCGAATTTCTGCCCCCTTCGTAAAAAGTTGGTTCCGGATCCGTCCTTCAGAGCATTAAGTTATATGTATGCAATTTTGAAACTCTTCATCCAACGTATAAACTCTTTAACAAGGAATGCCACCCCTACCATTTACAAAAACGTTTCAGATGTGGGAATTCAGCTTGGTGTAACCTGTGCACGACCGCCTAGGTGCTCACGACACACCCCTACCCTCTTCAGAATTGTATAATGTAGGCTGACATTAACAAAGTGAACATCACAACTAACACATGGATACATGAAGCAAATCCAATATTTCATACAGTACCCTTCTACAAAGCTATGTGTAAATACATTTTCCACCTTCAAAATCAAAAGCAACTAGGGCTCATGATTTCCTAGAAAATAAAATTCTATTTTCCAACAGTTCATTTCAATAATTATGAATTTATTTTTTTTGTAAATCTCCCTTCAAAACATATTGAAGAGGAAAAAACAAACAAATTACTTTACAAATATATACAAATGTCAACAAATATCTAATGTACAACATTGAACAGTACAATGTACAATTGTCTAGTAAGGTGTGTGTAGCAATTCGGTTTTAAGAATGGAGGTTTCATTTTATACAATTCTCAATTGTATAAAATTTACTATTAATTCACTCTCAGGAGCTTTCACTCAATGGAAAGTCGATGGATAATTATTCTTCAAAGTGGAAAAATCTTTGAAAATTACGAAAATTGTTTTCTTGTACAAAGTACCAGATTTTCGCGAATGTCACAGCACAGTGGGGATTTGAAAGTAGATACTATGTTTCCGACAGCACCACAGCAGCAGCATGTTCAATGTGTGGGTGACAGGGGCATATTACCGATAAGATCATACTATTGAATGTTGGTCACCTATCTACGGGTTGGGGTGGTTATCTCTGTTTGATATGGTAACGCTGAAAAAAAGGAGATAAAACAAATTTACAGCTCAGCAAAAATGTATGAACACAAACACTGCAAAGTCACAACCCATAATCTAAGATGGAGGAATTTTTTTTTCGTTTCAAGAGAAGAAAATCGAACAATGCTTTTCAAGATGTCCATCATTCTAATACTTTCTAGCATTCCTCAGACTAGCACAACATGGGTTCTGTGCTCAATTGCCCCTAACGGATGACCAAAACAGAGTCTGGGCCCACGCATGAATGCCAGTGCAGCCATATACATGTATCTGGTATGCACATAAAAAGTCTACGGGTTGGGGCAAAATTGATATCACAGCGTTTATAAGGTGCACAGTATCTGACACTATCTGTCATTCAAATGTGTGCACACATTATTAATATCGCTGCTCATTTGGCTCAAAACACCTGAACGTTCCTGAAACCATATCAGCTCCTTGGGAAACAAGATGCAACTGTCCTCTGAACCAAAAATAAACTCAAGCCACAAAAACCCTCAGATCTCGTTGGCTTGGATCCGACTGGGCTCGGTGAACTGCTCGGTGGAGAGGTAGAAGACCATGGGCACAAGCACCAGAGCCAGGAGGGGTAGGTTAGTGGCTGGATCAGCAAGCCGTGTCAGGGCTATGATGCCGTACGCATGGCAAAGCCAGTGGCCCACAAGGATCAATATGTGTCGCTTCTTCGAGAACAGATTCCCGAGGGTCTGTCAACAAGAAGCAAATAAAGACATTGATGAAAGTCCTCTCATTGTGTGGACTCGAAAAGTTGGACTAAGGATCATATTTTGGTCTAGTCCTTTAATCGGCACCGGTTTACCCTGTTTGGCGCCTTTACGATTTCAACAATGCTCTCTGTAACTAATTACTTACATATTCAAGGCTCACTGAAAGCACGCATATGAAAAAGTGTGTTAGCAAACTTCATGTATAACCCATTTGTCAAAACAGTCATAGCTCACACGCTGGGGAAAAATCAGGTCTCGGATATTCTGTCTGTCTAAAAGCCTCACCTCAATTTCTGCATAGGCAAAGTGGATAGCATGGGTGATCAGAGAGGAGATGATCAGAATGTAAGGGAATGAATAGTCTGCAAGGAGAAACAGAAGGAAAAATGCACAATTCATCTTATGAAAGGACACACTCAGTCTTATTACAAATTGACCAGGCCTTAACTTTTATCACTTTTTTATCAAATATCATTAGATTTTGACAAACAACAATGATAACATTGGTTCTTACTTAACACATTGACTGCTGACTATGAGCATAATAGGTGCCACAAGTATTCTTGTAGCAAATGAAAGGCTATTCTAATGTAAATTGAACAGACTGGCATCACTGCAGTCTATAGTACTGCCATATATGGGCATAGTGACCTTTCCTAACTGATATAGCAATTTTTGTCCAAATTTAACTTAAAATATCTCAAGTTGGCAATAACAAATTTTAATTCCTTTCGGTACAAACGTGTTTTAGAACTTCCAGTTTACATCAGCTGTAGTGAGGTTTTTGCATAGCCAATCAAAGTTTTGTAAATGAAATTTTTCGTTGGTGTTTTTGTTCCATATGCTGCCAGGTTCAGAAAAACACTCTGTAATATGGACACACTCATACAGTCCATTGCAGGTTGCTAGAACAAGCCTTGTGATTGGTCAGATTGTGCAAGATTTGTAACAGGCCATCCAAATATGGTGATACTCTAGACTGCATCACATGACAAACACGCTGCTGGCAGTCATAGGGGCATACATGTACATCTGTTAAATGCTCATGTTGGAATAGACACCTGAAAGGTACATGTACCGATTAAATATGCGTGCAAGCGTACAATGCTTGGCGGCAGTCAACATGTTAATCATCACCTGATCGGCAAGGAATTGACGTTTTTTTCAACCCAGTTCAAATTCACGCCCAGCTCACAAGCATAGATTATACATCACAGCATACATTGGTTGAATATGCTCGACATGAACAAGCATGAACCTGTGAGCGCATGCGGCAACTTTCCTAAGGGGCCTCATTCCTGCGTAAAAACACAGAATCTCTGGAGTTGAACAAACACAAATCTTTTCCTCAGGTCAAGAACTTTACAAAAGTGTAGTCATGAGATACGTTCTGAACTACAGACCAGCACCTCTAGCCGTGGTAAAGCTTCCCGAATGGCAGAATGATGTTCTCAGTGGAAATAATAACCACAAGGAAAGAGGACCTACATATCAGCCCAGCACAGAGTGCGTGGAGGAGGACAAGCAATGGCAGGAAGTAGAGGGCAGCGTAGATGGAGTTCCTGCCTTGGTTCTTGCAGACTTTGACAGACAGCAACGGTCTGAACAACATCATCAGTAGCAGCTCAAACGTGTAGATGACAAACACCACTGTGTACCTGGAAAAGTTGCCAACGTGATACACCTGAAATATTGCCCAACTGTACTGGAAAATGATACCCTATGTAGGAAGGTACATGTATATCTGATGGAAAGGTATGGAACGGAACAGGTACGAGACAAGGTGGGTACGGGTGGGACAGGACAGGGCAACAGGACGGCAAATGACAGGAAGGAACAGAATGGTGTTGAGTGGGGAAAGGAAAGATGGGCATGGATAGGACAGGATATGGTAACAAGAACGCAACAGAGATAAGTGGATAAAACAAGCGGAACTGAGAGAGGGTGCACTTTTCCTAGCAATGGAGGCTCCATTGATGGGAACTGCACTGGCTCACATACGACTATGAAATGCACACATCATGTTCACATAAGTAAACACTACCCCACTCCAGACCAACATGCATCTTTTCAAACAATGAGGGGGTACTTCTACTCAAGGAGGATAGTTCTTTTAGCCGTGCACAGCAATGTAGCACACATAATGAATACCATGTGACTAGCTCTAGGCCAGAATCTGTGGGTGAGGTATTATAATACAGGACAGGTTGGGACGGAAAGGTTGGGAGTGAGACAAAGTGATATGGAACTGAAAGAGAAGCAATAGGACAACCAGGACAGGATGCGACTAAATTGGCACAACACTGATTGGAACAGGACAGGAATGTGGAGAAATTACGAGTGCTGAGTCAATGTGAATAATTCACTATTCAAATATTTGACCTTCAATTTGATCGTACTGACCGGCAGATTGTTGATGAACAAAATATGTACAAAATCAGTTGCAATAACTCACACGATTGTACATTATAATTGCTATAATAGTGTCTCATATCTACATGTAGGAATATCTCCAGCCACAATTTAGCACGATTAAGAGATGAATAATATTTCTTGTCCTCTTGAAAATTTCTGTTCCTTTTAAATTTTTACTGAATAATTTACTTTTTGAATCTTTGTGTCGCTTTTCATTTGAATCTGCTTGAAACAAGCCTCCACAGTGCAATTTTTCTCATTTAAGACAAAACAAAATTCTCTCTTCCTTTTCATGAAATTTGCATTTGAATATTCACATTTGGAAAATAAGATTTGAATATTTGATAATCAATCAAATATTCGGATATTCAGCACAGTCCTAGACATGATACTTCCTAAAACCCCCTAAACATTCTATAACTCTCCGTTTGCTGTAACAGTCACAGACAGTCAAAAATTCCTTCCACTTGATATACCCCAGTGCACAGCCACATAGGGGTCGTGTGACTAATGTTTTTCTCTGACTGATAGGACAAAGTTGTCAAGAATACATCTTTGTATAGGAGGGTTAAAGAGGGAACCAAACGAAACCCCTTCATTCCCCAATTATAACCGTTATCCAACAGGTGACAAGACTACCTTCCAAACTAGACATGAAAAAATTAACAGTGTTCCCGATAATGGTCGAAAAAATTTCAAAAGCATGGGCTCTCGTGGGACCTTTCCTTGCCAATTTCAGAAACGCTCATTATGTATTAATGATATGTCAGTAATCCCGAGCTGGTGTCAGGGCTTTCAATAGACCCACGCCCAATACACTTCTATACAACGGAAAGATGCATGAAATTACTCTGCGTAAAACTCACAATGGATACACGGCTTCCTGGGTGCAGTGCAGCGTTCTCGTGTAGTCTGGTGTCGGGTTGTTGAGCATGGTGTACCAATCAGACAGCATCTGCACTCCACAAGCATGAATCCAGAGTGTGCCTGCGGTGAAACATTTCAAGGCAAAACGGAATTACTTGTGGCAAATACTGCCCAGAGAGATTGTACTGGGTTTCCATTATAACAAAGTATGCTACACCCATTCTTGCCGGGCAAAGTGTTTTTCTTCTGGATGGCCTTCTACGTTCACTATTACTGCAAGGATTGAATTCTTCAAATTTGCTCGCAACTGCATCCTAACAGACAATCAAACTCAGTGAGCGATTTCATTTTAAAATTTTGTATAGCAAATTCTCTATGCACTTTTTTTGTTAGCATAGCAAAAAATTGACTTTGTATAGCAACTGATCAATTTTTGTTTGGCAGTTTCTGTTGTAATTTAAATCACGTTAAAACACTAAACGTGGGTTTTATATGTCGATTATTGTTCGCCATTTTGGCCATCACGCATGCAAAAATGTTCCAGAATCGTCCACAGAAGAATTGGGTCATCACTGGCTCCGAAACAGGTACAACGGCAAGTAACTTCATAATCACGTCATACCGAGGTACAAATGTGTACATGGCCTATGGCGCCCCAGCCATCATTTCGAAATGTGCACTTTTTTCGCAGTCTGGATTGAACATCCAAGGACTTTTCCAGAGCATGTGCGCACTGCGCCTTACTCGGCTGCATGCGCTATATGCAGAAAGCAGCGCATACATACATGTACATGTACATTTATCACAGCACTGTTCTTGCTCTGCTGATGGACGATCTTTCCTGACATGACAAACGTACCAGTGAACAGTTCAGATTCCTGAGTCATGGCACCAGTGTTACATCGATCTTTAGGCATATTTTCGTGTCCATAACAGAAACAAATATTTTGATAAATGTTCATCGTAAAATTCTCTTGGAAAGGTGTTGCTGCGTGCGAACATTTTGTGGCAAGTTGTCCGTTCTCACCTGTCTCATGGTTTCAGGATTACCATGTACGTATCATTATAAATACATGTACATGCACCGGGATTCTAATATCAGGACCTTGGTTTTTTGCAGTCGATGGTTTTCTCAACATTTTCCTTTATTCCACTGATAAAACAGCAGGTTTACGAAATTTCTAAAATAAAAAAAATCCATCGCATATTGTATCACGAAACCCTGCAATCCATTTTTAAAACTGCATCGCATTTTGCGATGTGATACAGGGGAAATCACTCACTGAAACTGTTGATCCATTCTGTACAAATCTGAGAGGAACATTCTCAAAAAAACATCACCAGCATGTCAGCTTTGGCTGTCTTCTTATTTCTGCATTTGAAGACAAAATTAAGGGGCCCTTTATGCTCACACAGTGCGCAATCTCACATTATGCGGATTCAGTTGCTGGGAATTAGTCGCTTCGAATGCTTACCTTTAGGGTCTATCAGAAGTAATGCTATCACAGTTGCCAGGATGCATTCACCTACTGCTGTTCCATGCAGCAACAGAACACTATTTGCCAAAAAAGACAAAACATATATAAGACTGGAGCAGTTTCTGAAGAATTGATAGGTTCATCAGCCAATCCAGAGAGACAACAGGCCATCTGACCCTTACCCACAACTGGCAAATTAAAATCATCCAAAGAAATATTTCAACGAAATAAAGACAGGGATGTGAGTGGCCATTTAAAATTAGAGCTGAAAAGCTGAAATGTGAAATATTCCCATACTTTTGTATGGGCCAGGTGTACAAAAAGCTGAAATTCAGGGTCAACACCTAAACAAAAAGGCCCAAATCAGCTAAAACCTGAATTCTCACACCTCTGTTGAGAGCCAACAAGCCCCCGTCCAGTAAATGAGACTACAGTCCTGCCCCCAAGGATGTTTATTTCGGGGAAAATAAGGACAGCTCCCTCTGCAAACAGCATTAACATTGTTAATACTTTGACGTAATAAGCAAATCTCTGTACACCAAAAAAGTCTGTTTAACTGGATGTCATAGATAATTCAGGATTCTGGGGGTTTTTTTGGGGGGGGGAACAGAATCTGAACTCTGGAAATCTGGAAACCATTCTGCTTCTTGACCACTTCAGTCGAGTTCTATGCCTGGTAACGTAATGCCTGGTATGCATAAAATATACCAAGGGCACCAGGCAAAACTGACCAGTGGCTGGCAAATAGTTGTCGATTGTTTTCAAACTCAATAAGCCTCAAGCTTGACCAAGAGAGGGCACAATTTTCTTAGCAACGGAGGCTCCTTTGGTCAGAAATGAACTTCGCTGGTTCATGAACGACTATGAAATGCATGCGGTACGGTCGCATCACTACCAACAAAATGAACTCTCCCAACCAACATGGCTCTTTTCAGCCAACGAGGGGGTGCTTCTGCTTAAGGAAGACTCTGACCTTCTCTCGAACTGGCCGGAAGCTCTAAGCTTAAGCACGATGCCAATGCATGTGCAATTCCAGGGTGGTGTAGAGTCTAAATGTAACTCCTCAGGTTAATCAACTCTACTGCCAGTCAAGCGTTTCACATAAATGAGACAAGAAAACACGGACCAAAACAAACCGAAATGGAACCAAAATGTCTCACCGGTATCCCTTGGAGAAGAAGTCGATGAAGAAAAGATGCAGTCCAAGTGACAAGATGACCATGAAGCCAATGTAAAGCCAATCATAGAGCAGTGGCTGTGACATGCATGGCTCACAAATAGACATAGGGTTCCGCCGGTGACCACGAGGGCATGCCTATAGGAGAGATCTCAGTTACTACAGGTATCACTCGAACGAGCATGGTTTCGAGAACAGCAGCAATGTTGATTACACGTCATCACCAGTTCATTACCAGCCAAGTCAGCCACTCTCAAGTTAAAGGCTATTCAAATAACTCATTGTATGACAAAGGCACTCTTTTGTCATTGACCCCATTACCTACAAAATGACTTGTGATTGACTGACTTCGTGACGAACACAAATTTTTGAAGAGGGTCAATCCTAGCTACCGAACTTGTCCGAGTCATCAATGGACACTTTTTGTTATTACAATGCAGATACACACAGACTGTCATCAACAGAACATTACTACAGGCTAGGACTGAAAAAAAAATTCTAGGCTGACTTTCAAATCGGCCATGAGACACTTTTCATCAACGGCAGCAAACAACCGCCTGAGTTCACACATGGACACACCACTGGTGCCTTGGCAGGATTCCCTCACATTACCAGTTTGTGCAAACTCACGCGAAACATTCAGTGTTTTAATACTCAGCATCATTATACTTGCAAGCAAGTCATCCCGACAAGATGTCACTGCTAGGTGAGAGAACGCCCTCTCTGGTGCACGCACAAAGCCATCAGTAAAGAATGGCTCACTCCAAACATTAAATGTTTACACTGCAATGATTTCATCACATTTACTTTTAACCTTTTATGTTCTCCAAGGTGGCCCGCTGTGTCTTTGTGTTTGTCTTGTTGCGTGTGGAATTGCCAAAATAAATATTACTATTACTGTAATCACAACCATTTTGGCATGAATTTGTACACTGTATTCAGGAAAGTGTTTTAGAAGGAGTGGCCATTTACATCAAATAACGCTCAAGTAATTACCCCACAGGATCCATATGAATCATTGGCACTTGTGTTGAACAGCTGAACTCTACCACAGTAGAGTCCGGGGCACGTCTTCTGACCAGAAACCAGACTCCCTTGGTCTGAACAGAGAGGAAAGAGAGACAAAGCAACTTTACATTCAAGATTGTTCATGGTTGTCAAATGATGTCATAGGTATTTATAACAATGTGTTGAAATAACCTAGTATTTGGTGAACCAAGGGCCGAGTCTGTTTGAACAATTCAGTATTTGAATATTTCAACTTCCATTTGATTGAACATTTGTTCAATGTGTTCGATAAAATGTTCACATAGTTGGCATAATCTTAGTTTGCCCTCCCAATTTTTTTTTACATATGAATGTGCAAAATGAATGCAATGACTTGAGCCCCTACTCTGGGTCGTATCAGTCAAAATCTCGAATGCTAAGTGATAATGAAATTGCTTATTCACAATGAGAAAGAGTCCCCCAAACATTTGGGCTAATCGGTGACCCACCTCATCTCAAGTTCAATCTCATTAAAATGAAAATCACTCGTTGATTGCAGACCCCAAACCTGATTTCTTTCAGTTCTTCTGGGCAAAAATCAGTCTGCCTCGTGTCTGGTGAAATGCAGATTTGGCAGTGCTGTTCATAGGACAATGCTTGACCATTCAATACTCAGAGAAACTAGGCGAGGATAACTATTTTGTTCAACTTCAATCAAAAACTAGTACTTGTTTTTATTTCTCAGAGAGTAACAGGTGTGTGTACATAATAGCAAAAACATAATCACAGAACTAGCCAAGCTTGGACAACTCAACTCCATGGCTCATGGCATTGGCAACTGGGTGCTTCAAGCTACATTTGTAGTATTTACATAAAGCTTGAAATGATGCATCTACATGAACCAACTAACATGCACTGATTGGGCATCAGTGGATGTCTAGTGGATATGTGGATATCCAGTGGATGTCTAGTGGATATCCAAAGGATATCTTGTGGATAGGAAATTCTGTCACCTGATCCTAGGATCCTAGTTACTCAGAATTATACTGATAAAATCAAAGACCATGCATATGGACGAGAAGCTACAGAACTTCAAAAACATCAACTTCATGAGTGAGTGCAACATGTACAGTGATTTTTTTTTCAGATGTATTTTTTTTTTGCGTTGGGGAGATGTCAATTCATATGACGGATTTTGCTCTTACCCAACGTATATTAATAAGCACTGTATGCTCAGTGCTTGTCTGAGAGCTTGCGAAAAAACCTCACAAGCTTACTTGGGTGGGACTCGAACCCTTGACCTCAAGTCCCACCCGAGTAAGCTTGTGAGGTTTTTTTTTACAAGCTCTCAGACAAGCACTGAGCATACAGTGCTTATTAATATATGTTGGGTAAGGGCAAAACCCATTATATGAAATGTACAGTGATGTACACACTGGGTATTACTTGTACCAGTGCTAGTCCGAGCACTGCGGCAAAACGGCCGGTAGTGCCGCAATGTCCGGTAGCTGTGATCACACCAAAACTGTACTCGGGACATTATGGTGCTCAGGAATCAGTCCTCAGCGTGCATGTGCCAACACAGCATGCTTTCTGTGA